TCTGGGTTAGAAGAGTCTGTAACCTGAAGTATCTGTAACCTGAAGCGTCTGTAACCTGAGGTACCACTGTACATCTATATCAGGGGAGGGGAACCTCTGTCCTGAGGGCAAAATACATCCACCCAAGCTCCTTTATCTGGTCCTTGAGATTGTCCCCAGGCCACACCTCTCACTACGCTGGCTTCACACCTTCCTTGCATTTTTGCTTGGCCGGAATTTGCCCTCAAACTCTGATAATGATCCTTGCTTGCCAGAATGGAAGATAGAGAGGAGCGTTTGTAGACACTAGCCTACTGTATAAAGGTAACTTTCAGATTTATTGATCCACCCACTTTTGCCTCTGCCCTGCCCACCAAGTGGCTCCTGCAGGGTTGCCCAGAAGGGAATCTGAAAAACCCCCACCATATCAGAACTTCCAAGTATCCCTATTTTCCAGGGACAGTCCCTGATTTGCAGAAGCCGTCACGGTTTCTGAATTGATCGTGGAATGTCCCACTTTTCCTCAGGACGTCCCTATTTTCATTAGAGAAATGTTGAAGGGTCTGGAGTTATGCGACCCCTAGCCAAAGAGATGAGTAACTATACAACCCTTAGAAGACACCTGAAGGCAGCCCTATATGAGGAAGTTTTTTGAAAAAATATGTTTAGTGTTTTGTTTTTATATATATTGGAAGCCACCCAGAGTGGCTGGGGCAACCCAGTCAGATGGGCAGAGGATAATTATTAAATAGGACGTCTCTATTTTCGTTGGAGAAATATGGGAGAGTATTCCATGCCTGCTTTAAATACCATATTTTTTGCTCTATAAGACTCACTTTTTCCCTCCTAAAAAGTAAGGGGAAATGTGTGTGCGTCTTATGGAGCGAATGCAGGCTGCGCAGCTATCCCAGAAGCCAGAACAGTGAGAGGGATTGCTGATTTCACTGTGCAGCGATCTCTCTTGCTGTTCTGGCTTCTGAGATTCAGAATATTTTTTTTCTTGTTTTCCTCCTCCAAAAACTAGGTGCGTCTTGTGGCCTGGTGCATCCTATAGAGCAAAAAATACGGTACTTGATGGTGATTATGAGCAAAAGGAGCACGACTATCATTTTTATGCTCTGTGTGTTTCCAAGAGGGAACCAGCTTCAGCTGAAGCCTTTCTGAAGTATGCATTTTAATCATTATTATAATCGATCAAATTTTATCGAACCAGTCTGCTGTTGTTTGGGGGTTGCTTTTCTTCCAGTGTTTAGCTCTGCAGATTTTTGCAGCTGTTAACAGGTTAACTATTATGTTCAGGTCTATTTCTAGCAAAGTTTTTGATTCCAGAGATGAGGAACAACCTCTCATTTAATTCATTGTATTGCTGATTAAATCCCAAAACACCTGAATTTTTTAACGTTCTGTGCAAACTAGGGGCTGTCAACCCTACTCAGTCAGCTTCCTGTTGAAGACCTTCATTTTTGAACAAGCCTTTTAGGTATTTTTTAAAAAATAGTCTATAGTTGTATTGGATTTCAGACCCCCCCCCCAATACATGGAATTGCTTTTATATAGGCAATTGGTTTCAATTCTTTTTACATATAGAATTGATTTAATCATTTTATTGTGAATCGCTTTGAGATATTGCAAGAGAAGCAATCCATAAATGGAACTAATTAATCAATAATTTGTTTCCCTTTCTTACAGTTTCATATTTTCTATGCTAAGAAAATATTGCTGTTCTACATAATCTGAAAAGTATTGGAAAAAGGGTGTTGGTTTTTTTAAAAAAATATTTTAGAGTCTTCTTTATAAACTTACCTTCTGTTGAGCAAGTGGGATATACATTTTGTTAATAAATGAATGATCCCTGGGAATACGGATACTGAGGTAAACAAGAATTCACTTCTGATCCAATAATGCCTGGTTATATTAGGATTTCTGATAGTGTCAGTGCAGCACTTGAATAATTGAATCAACCCCAGGAACTTAAAGATAATTGAGTTTTAATAGATACCCTGTATCCAATGTGCCATTTATTATCAATTCTCTCTGTCATGTTACCCTTTAATACAAGGTAACAAACACTGAAGTAGTCAGGAATCATATCCTCAGTGGGAATATTCAAGTAAATAAAGCAGGGCAGAGACATTCCGTGTGCATTAATTAGCAAAATTAAATGTATACCTTCCTGCACAGGTTACATAATACCCACATTCTTAAAACTTGTCGTTTGCCATCTGTACTCAGCATGTTGTCACACATGATCGTTAACTTTGAAAAGCAAGTCTTGCTGAACAAAGGCCATGGAATAAATGGGTTGCCGTAAGAAAACAATTTAAAAAGAGTCACCTGTTGAGAAAAGACACTTAATCAGACCTTGGCTTAAAAGAGAGAAAGAGAGAGAGAGAGACCACCCAAGATTAACAGACCACTCCCAACTCCCTATGCACACACCAGTTTAAAACCAAGTACGTTATAAGAAATGACTGATTGTAAGAGTTTCGGATCGAAACCATCTTTTCTAAAAGTAGACCTTTTAGAATACCAAAGGGATGAATTACATGCCGGATGATTGACTGCAGATGATGCAAACTGGAGCTGATTTAAAGGACACATTTGGAAGGACAGAAAGCCAGCTTGGTTTAAGGCAGGCACAGGCAGACTCGGCCCTCCAGATGTTTTGGGACTACAATTCCCATCATCCCTGACCACTGGTCCTGTTAGCTAGGGATCATGGGAGTTGTAGTCCCAAAATATCTGGAGGGCCAAGGTTGTCTATGCCTGCTTTAAGGCAATAGCAATGGTCTTGGGGCCTAAGAGAACCAGATTTTGATTCTTGCTTTGCGGTAGTCAGCCGCACTCAGACCTACCTGGGAATCATCCCCATGCATGTGTGCTGGCTCAAGTGACTGGCGTAGAAACAGCTACCTAATGTGCCTCTCAAAGGATTCATTTATTTTATTATTATTTTGGTGGGGGCAATGTCAAATAACAAATCTTCCTGGGAATATCAGTGAAAGGTTGCATAAAATGGCTTATAATAAATAAACAAATAAAACAAACATTTCTTTTGCTCTTCTTTTCACAGAAGAGGAGCTATGACTTTGAGTTTGTGACATCTGTGTTTTGACACTCTTGCAAGCAACTCTCTTGTGTGTTTTTCAACAAGTCAATCAATGCTGTGTTACCAGAACCAGCTCTAAGGGAGTCTGACCAGAAATCATGGTTCGTCTTTTGCTATGTTATGGGATGGGTTTTGTTGCCTTGGTTGAAAATAGGGATGGGATATAACCTGCCAGTTCCACTCTGTAGTTCATGTAGTTTTTGAGATAATGACAGTTTCCAATTCACAATGGACCTGGACACCAAAGCAGGTCCAAAGAATTTCAGACCCTCCAAGTCTCCCTATTTTTTAGGGACATCCCCGATTTAGAGAAGCCATCCCAATTTCTGATTTGATCCTGGATTGTCTCACTTTTCCTTAGGATGTCCCTATTTTCATTGGAGAAATGTTGGAGGGTATGGAGTTATCTGACCCCTGAGCCATCTGAACACAATCCTGTATAGGAAAGTTTTTAATGTTTAGTGCTTTATTATGTTTTTAAATTTCATTATCTTTTTATATATGTTTGGAAGAAAGGTGTCCAAGCTGACCAAATGAAGGCATTGATGCTACAAGTGGCTTGGGTGACAGATGTTGTGTGGCATATCTGCATTTCGCCTGGGGAGGAGGTGGGTTGTAGAATGGAACACTTTCTTGTACTCTTGCCCCATAGATGCTGTCTGAAGCAACAGCTTCTTATGTGCTAAGCAGCACTGTGACTGAGATATCTGTTTCATTGCCATGAATGAATTTGGAATTGGACAAAAGAGGAATGGACCAGAAGGCTTGGCGGATGTTCTTTAAAGGTCAGTGGCCAGACTGTACCAGCCATGCCTCATTAGGGAAATTTCAGGTCAAAGGCCTGGAAGAACTTGGAAATAATTGGAATGCAAGGAGAGGCTATGGGGAGAAGACGCATCCTCATCCCAGTCCCCATGTAAGAGGAGGGAGTTAATTTGTGTCTGTAAAGGCAAATATAGTTTTTGGAATGGATAGGGATCAAGTGTGCTGCCTTGTCCCCACAACTGATGTCATGCACACACATCACATGATGTGCTGACACTGTGCACACATGTCACATGACATACTAACGTATCACATGCATGCCGCAGGGCATGTGTGAGTGAGACAGGCAAGCCACATGCGTTGTGCGATTAAGGTAAGTACATCATGCAGTGTGCGTACACAGCCTCTGCATTTGGGGGCGGCTCCCTACTTGAATTTTTTTTGGGGGCCCTTGGTCTCCCTGGTGACCCAGATGGTGCCTATGATAAGAATAGTCACTCCACAGAGACAGATTTGGAACTGGAAGCATATTTCAGGGTGCAACCAGGGTTCTGATGTAGGGCAAGGGCTTTGCTGCATGGATGAATGATTAAACTCTTTGCCTCCAACTGTTGTCTACCTATAGCTTTGTAAATCAGGGCTGGGAAACTGGATCCAGGCAGTGGGGCAGATCCTTATCTCCCCCACCCACTGTGGGCCAGGTTTGACAGGTGATGTGAGATGACCTGTTTTTGCCTGCAGAATTTGCAATCTGCAGGTAAAGGCACCACATATTGCAGCTGATCATGTTGTTGTTGTTTAGTCGTCTTAGTCGTGTTCGACTCTCCGTGACCCCATGAACCAGAGCATGCCTTGGAAACTCTCACTTTCTTCTCAAAGCTCCTCCTTTTTTATGTCCATTGAGTTTTCTTGGCAAAATACTGGAGTGGTTTTCCAGTTCCTTCTCCTGGTGGATCACATTTAGTCTAAACTTTCGGCTATGACCTGTCCATCTTGGGTGGCCCTGCATGGTATAGCTCAAAGCTTCTTGGAGTTTTTTCAAGCCCCTTCGCCATGGCAAGGCAGTGATCCATGAAGGGGCAGCTGATCACAGAATCATAGAATTGCAGAGTTGGAAGTGACCCCCTGCAATATAGGAATATGCAACTGTCCCATACAGGGATTGAACCTGCAACCTTGGCATTATCAGCACCACACTCAAATCAACTGAGTTATCCAGGTGATTAGGGCTTGCATGGAGTGGTAATGCAGGCAATGGTACAACAATCTCCAGAAGGCACCATGTCGCTGGATGGACACTCTCGTCAACCCTGCTGCTCATCAGGCAATGGCTTTTTCCATGCCCTACCCTCCAGCTCCGGGAGCCTTTCCCAGACCATGACTTTGAGAATAGCAGAAGCAGCTGGGAAGAGAGGAGTTCAGCGACAGTTTTTTAAAAATTATTTTATAAGTGATGTGTCCTTGTTTCTCAATTTAATCCTTTTACATGGCTTTGTATGACTTGTGGTCTTTTATGCATTGTGATTTGCTGCTCTTTTTATCGATTACAGATGAGTAATTATTTATTATAATTGATAAGTGTAAACTGTTTATTGCTTGCTGATGTTTAATTTTAGTGTTTACTATTGGATTCTAAAGGATCATTGCATATTGCTTTATTTGAGATAAGTTGTCTATTTTAAAGTGACTTTTTATATAGGATCAGAATGTTACTGTTAATGTCTGATGTTTTATTGTTATTTTTTGTGAGTGTTGAAAGCCGCCCAGAGTGGCTGAAGCAACCCAGCCAGATGGGCGGGGTATAAATTTAAAAAATATTATTATTATTATTATTATTATTATTATTAGTGGTAATAATAAACCCAATATTACAAACAGTACTGCCACCCCCAACACCATCGCTTTCCTGTGATTTCTCTTCCAAGAGGAAGCTATAACTGGGTAAGCGCTACCCACAGAACAACTAGCCATTCTGAGAAGTGGGTGAAATGTCAGGAATGCCCTTTCCCCCCAATTCTTCCTGTGTTCTGTCTGTGTTTCTTCCAGATATTGCTGAACAGCCACTGCCAATCCTCTCTTTCCAGCGCTCTAATTACAAACTAACTTCTCCCAGTGTTGCAAGTGCTACTAAAAGGAATGCCATTAATTTTTCTCCTTTCTTCTTCTGACTTTGTCTGCAGCTATGGGTGCAGAGATACAGGGAAGAGCAGCAGAGACCACCAGCAAGTAGCAGCTGTGATGTAAAACAGCAGGAAAGAGTTGTTCAGAGGGGAAGAAAAAGAAGGGGCCTCACCTTCTTCGGTAAAGGTTTGCGACAACATGAAAGGCATGAACTGTGAAACTAAATAAAGGCTTGACACACAAAAAGAAGGATTTAAACCAAAGTGAAAGAACGTGGGAGGTTGCATTTTTTTAAAAAACCAAAACCACGAAAACATCGTGACATCTATTTTCTTACCACCACCCCCAGACCTTTTAAACGGCATCATGTTTTAGCAGCAGAATGGAGAACGTTTCTCTAAAATAGGAAGTTTGCAGCTGAAACCGGAAGCCTTACTGTTGCCAAATTCTGCTTGACTTCCTTTGAAAACACTGTCATGTCGAATCGTGTAACTTTTCTCGATAAACATTCTGTTGATTTTGGAAATCTCGGGCTGAGCTACCTCTCAAGGTATGGTTCAAAAGTATTTTGAATGTGCATTCTGGGAAATGATATACAATGAGTTGAAAAAAATGTTTAACATAACTTTTGTGAAAAAACCAGCTTTTTTTACTAGGAATTTTAGATGCAGAGATACTAAACGAGCAGAAATGATTGTTTATGTATGCGATGACAGCAGCATGGATACTAATGGCCCAGAGACGGAAAGAAGATAAAGTCCCGACCAGAGACGAATGGCTGATGAAGATGATGGACTATGCCAAAATGGCGAAAATGACCAGAAAAATCAGAAACCAAGAAGATAGAAACTTTAATAAGGAATGGGGAAAATTTACAATTTACTTAAGAGAACACCGTAAACAACTAAAAGCTTTGGTGGGATTTGAGTAACGCTTGTAATGTATTAAAAACTAAGGAGGAAAGGGATTATTTCAAGAAAGCAGAGAAAATATATGATGCAGTGGAAAAAGTTTGATAATGGAAACCATGGAGGGGTGGAGGAAAGTTCAAGGTTTCAGGAATTCTGAATGTTGATGATGATGATTAATGTTTGAATTTAAATGTATAGAGTAAAACTGAATACATTTTTTTTTGGTAAAAAATAAATAAAACAGGCATGAGCCAGGAAAAATAATAAAATTGCAATGTGGCTATCTTGGAGTGACCAATTCAACTTAGAAGAGAAGCAAAAATGGTTACCAAGAGAGATACCTTTGCTGAAACCTGGACTCCCTTCTTTTCATATGTAAGCGAAGGAGATAACAATTCTTTCCCACCAACAAGCGCATTGCCTGGCCCCCACAATTGAGGGAGGTGACGCCGTGTGCCATGTGCGAGTGACATCAGCACGCCAGTGATAGTTGTGTTTTAAAATGTGTGCACTCAAACATGTGGTATTCCAATTTGGATACAAGCATTTAATAGAGAAGTTGAACAAATTCAAGCAACCTTTCTTCATAAAATCCTTGGTGCCCCTAAATGCGTAAATTATTTAACCTTATGTGCTGAATCTGGTCAACATCTGACAGAAAACCAAAGCATGGCTCTCCACAATCAAGGCCTGGCTGAAAGTCCATTTTAGAAAGTGTGTTCTCATTAAAAGAGAGCATGTGTTGCAGTGGGGGCAGCCAAGACACCCTTCTGTTGCCAGGCAGTTTGGGATGGGATGCCTCTGGCAGGGATTGGTAGCCTGAGTTGCTGGGGTAATTTTGATGTTGCCAGTTTGGGGGTGGGAACAGAGATTTTTTAAACAGTGCTCACAGCGATCTGCTTTCTCTTTCACTGCGTGTACCGGATCATCCGCCCTCCCTCCCTTAATTTGGGTCTTGTGCGTTGACCTTGCTATGCCTGTCATGGGGTCGTCTGCCGTTGGGGCAGGGGCCTGGTAGGAATTTTGTCCATTTGGCTGATTGGCTGAGGCCATTTGGTTTTTGCCGACTGCGTAGCAAATCGTCACAACTTGTAAGGTTGCGGTTAGGCATTGGTTAAAATTGGTTGGAGGTGGGGTAAGGATTGGCTGGGCCTGCCCCTCCAATGTTGCTGCTGCAAGGGAATTCCATTAAAGGAATTCAGGGGCTTGCCATCCTTTCGTCCAAACCCCTGGAATCGGGTTTGGGCTGCTTAAGCCCCTGGGAGCATGCGGGGAGAAGCTGAGGCCTGTGGCGTAGCTCCAGTTCTCCCCAACATTGTTTCCCCTCACTGACTTTTGCTGGAATCCAGAGGTCAGTTCTGTCCCCAGGCGGGGGGACAGATAGTCCTAACCAATGCCTAAGCAACCACTCACTCACATCCATGTATGTTAATAAAGTTGTGGCCAAAATTATGCCAAAAACCTTAAACAAAAATTCTGTGTGAAGTGTGTGTTATTGGGGTGGGGGTGTCTTGGGGAACTCGACACGCAACAACATCTAATTCCTTCTTAACCTCTATGCTTAAAGACCGTATTTTATCCAGATTGTATAGAGCAGGGGTGGCCAACTCCCAAGAGACAGAATTAAAAACTGGCAGTGATCTACCCCCTTTTGGGGGGTTCAGGTCAAAGTTGTTGAACTTTTTTTAAGGAAGGAGGACAGCCAGGGGTACAGGGCTAAGTTGTTGAGCTTTTTGAGAGAGGTGGGAAGCCCCAATTTTTGAGAATTCAAACCTAAGCTCAAGGGAGAATGGGGAACAGCCACTCACCAACGGATTGCTGGAGAAACAAACAGCCTCAGTGAGTAAACTCCGTCTTCTGTTCTGCAGATCATGTGACAATGGAGGGTGGGGCAGGATTCTATTTTAACAACGCTAAGGAAAGGGACACAGCGATCGACCCGGGGATCTCCCAGTAGATCGTGATTGACCTGTTGGACATCCCTGGTATAGAGCAATTCAAGACAAAATCTGTAGTTTGGCCATTGCCCTCGAGAACCTTGAAGTACGTGATGAAAATCAAGCAGTGGCTCTAAGACCACGAAAGACAGCACTTGTTACCTCATACTCTGAGCTCTTGTTCTCCAGAGGCCTTAGGTATCAAAACATCCCATGGGACCTGTGTCAAATATCATCATCATCATCCTTTTTATTCGACCGTCAGTCAGAAAAAAGTACATTTTGTCAATACACAGTTAAAAACATCCAGGAAGATTTTAAAACTTAGCCAACACTAAAATGGGCTAAACAGATAGCCCCATATCAATACAGTCAATTATAGTCTTGCGACGCTTAAAGGCTAAGAAGAGAAATTTGGCCACCAAGGAAGGTATAGCTCTAGTGGCGTTATTCAGCAAGTGTAAAGCCTGGTTTTCTCCGGGTAGGAGGCTGAATTGACATAGGAGTCAAATATCTAAAGGATCTACTACTCCCTTCCCATCGATGAGCTTTTATGCTTGCGAGACTAAATGCTTTCCCCTCCTCAGTCACCAAAGGCAGATTCTCACACATTCCATTTCAAGCCCGTATGTGTGCCTGCAATCAAGAAGTACCTGATTCAATGGACCACATTCTCTTAGATTGTCCTTTACACAGCAGACCTCGCCAGCTGATGCTGAGCAAAATGTTGGACATTCGGCCCACAACTCTGAGAAGAAGCCAAATAAGGTTTCTCCTGGCAGATTGGGACAAAGACATTACTGCTTTAGTAGCTTCCCTTTTAGCCACAGTTTTACCCGAAAGGTAAAACTATCCTTTCGGGAAACAGTCATGGCATAGCAGAATATCCAAATGCACACCATAGTGTGACCCTTGATAGCTTCACCCTTGCCTTTCTAATTATTCCAGTTACACGAAATGTTTTATACTGTGATGCCAATAAAGGTACCTGATTGATTGATTGAACACACCCTCCAACCCCAAGACTTCTATATTGGCAAAACCTATCTGGTGTTTCGCAACTTTCTGATTAGTTGCAGGACCTTAGCCAGACCTAGCATAGTACACGCAGAATCCACAGAAGCAATTGGCGACTTGGCTGCTGACAGGATAGACGAAGCAGGAACCAGGAACTTGTAGTTAGGTGTTTATTATATACAGTGGACTATTTACAGGAACAGAACACAGATCTTTAGCTAGCTCTCTCTGACACGACTCACAACTCCTACACTCACTGACACAGAACAACTGAACCCAAACTCTGAACTACCAGTTAGTAGGCCATTAATTATCACTCCCTTGAGAGAGCTTGACTAATCAGGGAGCGGTCTCCATGTCTCTGTTATCACCAGGCAGACTTACTCCTTCAGATTGCCTTCTGGCTGTCTGCCAAACCTTAATTGACTCTGTGTGAGTAGCTGCACATACACAGTTTCTCAACATCTTATATGTGTGAGCAGGCTCCTGGTGTCCTCCTACTAGGGAAGGCTTTTCATGCAGCAGTATTTCACCTTGCTGAATTCAAGAGCAGCAGTTCTGGTTATGTTAAATCAATTTTAAGTTCCCTTGTTTTGCCAGAAGACCAGCATTTGGAGAACAGCTTCACATATCACATTTTAAACCAGACTCCTTTTAAGATGCTGAGAGGTCCAGCATCTGAAATTCACTTCCTTCTGACTGCAGCATGTGTCAATGTCATTCCTCTTCTCTCGGTTGGCAAAAAAACCTTCCCTAAATATGCTTATCATCCCTTTAAAAAGAGCCATCTATATTTGACATCAGAAGCAGTATGTTAAGGTTTTATGTCTCCAAAACTGAGAGACAAAAATAAAATACTGCTTTTGATTCACTTACCATGTATTTCCCTCCTTAAGTCCTTCTGCATATGGGCTCTTTTCAGTTTTCGTCAACTAACATAAACATCAAAAACAAAGTTAAGGAAAATATTTACACATAAATACATAATGATAAACTATATTGTGAAAGCTATCATCTCATCTTTCTACCACTTTTCTTGGCAGCAAATGTTGAGAATATTGGAAGTAATTTCTCTCAGATGATCCCGTTCTGTAGAGAGAACAGGCAATGATGGCAGGTCTTGACTGCAGCATTATTGATTGCTATTTATTTCTGAAAAATCTCTTGGAAAAAGCTCTTTCTCCTTCACAATTTGAAAGGACAAAGTCCGAAAAAGATAAAAAAACAGTGCTAACCTTTCAAAAATTCCAGTCAGTTCCTAACTGTAAATACCTGCCTGCAAACACAGAGACCATATGTATGGACTCATCAGGGGGTTTCGATTTGTTGTAACTCTTTGAGTTTACACTTAGTGGTTTGCTTCTGCCTAATACATTCAGTGTTGCTTAGGAGGCCATTTTAGACCCATCACTTGAGGAATGTCCTGCCCTTTATAAATTCCTGATAAAATATCAAAACTTCAGTAGTTGACACCCAAACAGCCCACTGACGTCCCCATTAGTGTCTATTTGTGTCACCAAGCGAGAACTGAACAGCGCTCAAAGTGTTTTTATTTCTTATTTAGCCCCCCCTTTTTATGACAGTGTGGGTTCATATGGGCCCAATCATAACATCAAGCGACTACTCCAAATATGTATAAACTTCCATCAAAAGCAAGTCTTTCAAAGTTCATGCATCTTTCATCGTCTGTGTAACCCTTGCTCACCACTTAAAAGAAAGGACCAAAGGATTTATGATGAAGTCAGAATAAGCGTTCTTAAGAACATTTCATGTGCTGAACAGACTAGACGGCAAAGATCAAAATAAAGGCCTAACCACCAGAATAAACTCACGAGACATGTCTCTAAAGTGCAATCAGATGGCCCTATCTTTCCCTCACACACTTGTGGTAGCATGACTACCACTGAGTCAACCAAAACCCATAGAAGCACCCTCCAAGCATTGTGACCTTGAATTTGATATTTGTGCGAGGAAATCCATCCTTTCAATTCAGCATATGATTGACAGAGCACCCTCTTGGCGAAATGCCTTGCAACTAGGGCTGTGCACACCAAATTTTCACTTCAAATGTTGACCTTTTGACAACTTTCTGCTGAATCATTGGGCAAATTATGTGACAATTGATAATACCTGGTCTGTTGGGGCTGAGCCAGCCCAGCAGCTTCTCAGTCACCTAGAATGACTTGTCTTGGGCTGAGAAGTTTCAGAGCTGGTCTTCAAGATGACAAGGAAAGAGTTTAGATAGTCCTGAAGGGCTGTTTATGGGAGTCCCCTGACTTGAGTGAGCCACTCTTCCTTTACATGTGGTTGAGGGTGGGGCCGTTGACACATGATCACTGTGTTTAATGGGAGACAGACTCCTTATCTGTGTAGAAATGTTAGGAAAGATATCAGAGAAGCCTTTAAACAGCTCCATTTTTAAAAAAAAATGGTGTGAAACCAGCCATGCTATTCCAGGATACAATATCCCCCCACTCCAATAAACGCCAAACATTTTCCTCACCACTGAAATCTTGTCCTAAAGGCTCAGGTATATATATCTGTTTCCCTGCATCTCAAAGCCTCTTCCAATGTCTTTCCTTCTTTCTTTTCATGGTTGGAAGCTCAATTAGTTTCATGCAATACTGTGCAGATTTTTTTGCATGGCGAGAATGTCCTTTTTTGCTGCTGGTCAACATTTAAAGAATATGTATAGTTACTGTAAGTGTGTTTAGGTACCCCCCCCAAAAAAAACCCCTCTCTTGATAGTGTGTGCCCCTGTGAGCTCTGGCTTCTGTAAATATCCTTCTTTTTCTTTGTGGAGCTTGCAACTGTTCAGTGCTTATCCTCATTACAAGTTGACCTAATTCTAGTAGGACATGATTTGTACAATTAGAGCCATTGTATGGCCTCCTTTCAAACGCCAGTGTGTTTGAATAAATACTGTATGCATGACACTTTAAAAGTTACACTTGAAAGGTCCTGTCGTTGAAATCTTAGTAAAAATTGTAGCTGCAAGACTTTCTGGGGCTTTTCCCACACCCTAAGCTGCATTATATAAGCATTGCAACTGGATTCCATCTGAATTATTTTATAACAATAAAACTGCTCCACCCTGTTGAGAAGCAGAAGGAACTCACTGGGTCAGGCGGTGTTGTTGTGCAGAGAAGTCAGTGTGGTGTTCAATGGTGTGTGGTGAAATTTGTTTTAGGTGATGTGGTGGGAATGTAAAAAGGTGAAATGCTTCTGGGAGATGATATATAATGAGTTGGAAAAAATGTTGAAATATACATTTATAAAGAAACCAGAAGCATTTTTATTGGGCATTGTGGGGAGTGATATAAATAGAAAGGAATGTAAGCTCTTTTTATATGCAATCACAGCAGCAAGAATATTATTGGCCCAAAAATGGAAGCAAGAAGAGTTACCGTCAATAGAAGAATGGAGGATGAAGTTAATGGACTATGCAGAATTAGATAAACTAACAGGAAGGATTCGAAACCGGTGAGACCAGAAATTCACGGAAGACTGGAGTAAATTTACGGACTATTTGAAAAGTAATTGTGAAGAACAGACGGCGTTTGTAGGGTTGCAAGATGTTTTGTGAGGAGTATTATTAGAAGTATTGTAAAAATGGATAAGGGGGAGGATGATTTGTTAAGAAATGTAAGGGCAATATAAAGTTAAGAAATGCATAAGAAGTGGTTAAAATGGTGGATCATCAGAGGTGCTGGTGGACGTCCAAAAAGATTGTATAAGTGATAAGTTTTGTGGTACATTTTATAATTTATATGTTAAAATTAATAAAAAATATTATTAAAAAAATTGTTTTAGGGGAAGAGTTTGGGCTAGAGGTTCCAGCTTGTGAGGGAGATTGGGTGGGGCACAATGCACATGCGACTTCCTGATGTCATGCTCGTGAGCATGGTGCCTCCTTCCTGAAGCTGGACAGAAACTTCCCAGATTTTGGGAAGGAGGTGCCAGGGCTCTGACAGGATGCTGCAGCCCTTCTGCCTCCTTCTCAAAACCAGGTGGGCTTTAGGAAGTTTGCAAGAGAGCTCTTGGACCCATCAGAGCATCGTGCCTCCCTCCCTAAGCTGGGCAGAAGCTTCTCGGGCTTTGGGAAGGAGGTGCCCAGCTTTAATACCTTAATACTCTAATTTACCAGGAACGTTCAGGGGGCTAGCCTAGTCCCCTGTGTCCACTGACCACACACCATTGGTGGTGCCAATGCACTGGTGAAGGCAACCTGCCATTAATGCTGGTGTCTTTGCAGTGTGTTGGTCTCTCAGCTGCCTCATCCTTCGTTCTGCCCTCCTGGCAAGCAACAGTGATCTACCTAATAGGAAGCTGGTATATAGGCCAAGTGCATATGGAAGCAAATTATCTTGTTTTCTCTCTATAGTTTACTACAGGGGGAGGCAGTTGGCCAGACTTGTATATATGCCAACAGAACTTACTAGCCTGCAGAAATCTTTACTAGCTTGCTACAAGGCTTCCGTGTTGAGTGCAGGTGAGGGCAATCCCATCCTCCACAGCTCACAGGAAATGTGAGCTTTTGACTCCTTGGCAGGTTGTGTTTTTTTAAAAGAGGGGGCAGAGGATCCAGCACTCCTCTGCAAGCCCTTTGTGTTTCTGTGCTGGTTGCAGAGAAATTGACTTTCTTTCCTCTGTGGCTGGCTTAGGAAACCATCAACTTTTCTGGACTCCACAGGCCCTCTCATTCACCTCCAAACAGGGATGGGGAATCTGGAGATGCCTAGGTTTGAACTGGAAGCCATTCCCCAAACTCTTTGCTGCATAATTCCCATTGCTATTGCTGTTTTTAAGACTTACTGTATCAATGAGAAGCAAGCAGACAATCAAAACTTGGAGCATCTACACATATACATTTGGTTGCAGTGAACATAAGAGCAAAACAAGCAGGCAACAGAAAACCTCCCACAAATATATCATCCACAACACACAAACCAATAAAAACTAGTCAAGCGAAAAGGGAAAGGGAAAGGGGATAACTCAGTCTATAATTTTACTCTGTAAGGTAAAGGTAAAGGGACCCCTGACCATTAGGTCCAGTCGTGACCGACTCTGGGGTTGCAGCACTCATCTCGCTTTATTGGCCGAGGGAGCCGGAGTACAGCTTCCGGATCATGTGGCCAGCATGACTAAGCCGCTTCTGGTGAACCAGAGCAGCGCACGGAAACTCTGTTTACCTTCCCGCTGGAGTTTATCTACTTGCACTTTGATGTGCTTTTGAACGGCTAGGTTGGCAGGAGCAGGGACCGAGCAATGGGAGCTCACCCCGTTGTGGGGATTCGAACTGCCAACCTTCTGATCGGCAAGTCCTAGGCTCTGTGGTTTAACCCACAGTGCCACCCATGGCCACACTTCACTCTATAAAGTCACCTAATATTTGTTTACCTTTGTTTTGATTTTGAATAGCTTCATTTTGCTGCCAGTGATGGCACTATAATATAGAATGTTAGTAAAAATTAATTTCCCAAAATGCCAAGAGGAGATTTCTCTAGGAACCCTAAAAAAGTAAGAAAAGCTGCTCTGAAACAGACCAAACACTGATCTGGTTCAATGGCCCAGAACATGCTTCTGAGAAGCCCCTCAGCAATAGCCCTGTTTCATTACTCATCTCACCCCAACCCCAAAGCAGCTAGTATTCAGTAGCAAACTGCCTCTGAATCTACAGCTATGATGATCGCAAAGGACAGGTTCACTTCATCTGGGAGATCAGATTTTTCTTTTTTCTTTTTTGTCAGAGCATATTCCAAAAATTACTTGCCGTATGCTTCCCCCTCGCAGACACTGACAAAATAGCGTTTTCGCCAGCAAGCTGGTTTAAAACTTTTTGAGGTTTTAATAGCTTTTAAGAACTCAACTGTAGCTATTGTGTTGTAAATTCCTTAGCGGCATGTGTGGGATGTGCTAGCAAATTCTTGCAAAGAGACCTTTCTCTGGAGGTTTTCATCCCACTTGATTTAGAATGAGCAGGATTTTACAGTGTCAATAACCCCCCAGCTGTTTGCAGAGCCCTGTCCTAGTGATGGGAAGACATTGTAGCCTGAAATCCATATAAAGCACAAACTTTTTCTTTCATGATCAAGCTCGCACAAAAGGATTGCATGCAATGTTAGGTAGATTTGCAGTAGCTCTCACTTCGTAAAAGTAACAGCGGGGCAAAAGCTTTATTAGAAATGTGTGTGTGTGTGTGTGTGTGTGTGTGAGAGAGAGAGAGAGAGAGAGAGAGAGAGAGAGAGAGAGATTTTACATCTCAAGCAAACATAGTACAGTGGTACCTCGGGTTAAGAACTTAATTTGTTCTGGAGGTCCGTTCTTAACCTGAAACTGTTCTTAACCTGAAGCACCACTTTAGCTAATGGGGCCTCCCGCTGCCGCCGCACCACGCCACCGCCACACGATTTCTGTTCTTATCCTGAAGCAAAGTTCTTAACCTGAGGTACTATTTCTGGGTTAGTGGAGTCTGTAACCTGAAGCGTCTGTAACCTGTAAACTAAAAAGGCCTGTTTCCAGTGACTGAGACCAGCGGCATAGCTAGCCCATGGGGGTGGGGTGAGCTGTGTGGCGCCTCTCTGCTGCCTCCCCATCGGCTGTAGGGCAGCTGAGGGAGAGGCGGTGGGCAGACGCAAGTCCCACACTGCCGTTTCAGGCAGCATGGAGCCTGCAGGGACCCAAGCCACCATGTCACTCCCAGGAGAGACACATGGCTCGGGCACACTGCAGGCCCCATGGTAAGTGCCAGCCCCCGTGGTGTGGCACCCAGTGCCAGCCACATTTTGTTACATTTGCTGACTGAACTAAAAAGTTTAGTGAACCCATGTTTTAAACAAACAAACAAACGAACAAACAAATCAACCAACCAAAACTCATATTTTTGTCACTCCCCTCAGTGATGGCACCGGGGGTGACCCGCACCACCTGCACTCCCCTTTCCTCCGCCACTGGCTCTTCTTGTATTCTAGGTAAGCTCTTTAAGAGTGAGGGAATATCCGCCCTGGTGCTTGTTTCTTGCAGTTCCACTCACACAGCACATCAGCTTCCTGCACTCCACATCAACAGTAGGCTGCCAAATAGCGAAATGAAGTAAAAAAATTCATTCATAAGAAATTCCCACCGTGAAAAAAAGGTTTTAAGTGCTTATACTCACAGTGTTAAGCAAATAAACTAGAAAATAACACTTGCAGCTGTAAGTATCTTATTTTTCCATCTTTTAATAATTTCAATATGTGGGGTGGGTGACAATAAATTTTCCACACCGGGTAGCACCTGACCTTGCTATGCCACTGCCCCTCACGTCTTCAGTTAGGTTCTGAGTGCAAAGCCAGCCCCTCTCCTTGCCTCTTTTCCCAGCAGCACCCCTTGCCTCAGGCCTCTGAGAAAGAGACTTTGGGGCTTCGGTTCCCTCCAGTCTCTGGTTCATCCCCCCCCCCAAACCTGGACAAATCCAGATGCCTTCCCTGGGGAGTCTCTCCTTGCCTTGGCAAAAGGTGGGCGGCAGCACCTGGCAAACCGGGTGGCAAGCTGGACGCTGGCCTGATTCACTGCAGGACAGTTTGGGGGAGAAGGGGAGACAAGCCGCCACATCATACAACCATATGTCTGGCAACGAAAATCCACCTCTTTATTTTATATCTATTAAAATTTTATATTTAACTCTCAGTTTCTTCCCTTGCCAGACAAGGCTGCTCTTAGCCTGGTTTTGCCCGGGGAGGGCGGGGTATAAATAAAAAGTTATTATTATTATTATTATTATTATTATTATTATTATTATTATTAAAACCTAGAAACATATTTTTGCCATTCTTTGAAGCATCTTGTTCTGCATACTATTGGAGTGGTTTGAAATAAAAATAGAATTTGGGGCAAAATATATTCATTTTTATAACCAAAATTCTTCCCATTAGAGAGAGTTTCATTCTTCCCCATAACTCAAGGTTTTTTCTTATATCTTTTCATGTCATAATTGTCTTGAAATATGTTGGAGTTTTTCACTGTTAACCATATTTCCAGATACTTCACTTTTTTCTCAGTTGTCAGCCCACTGGCCATCTGCCAATCTTTTTTGCCTGTGCATCCATCTTTTTCACCAAAACCTTAGTTTTAGTTGTTTTAAGATCTGCAACTTCTCCATATTTCCTTATTTCCTCCAATAACTTAGGTACACTTTTTTATAAGATTTTTTATTAGGAATTGTAACATAACATTTTATCAATAAAACATATCATCCTCATTTCCCCCCTCCATTTTTCCCTTCCCCTTCCCCAAAATAGAAACCCCCCTCCCGCCACCCCCCAGACTTCCCTCAGCTCCTCTCTCTGGTTTTTCCATACTTAGAATTTTCTGCATATTATAAAATTGTAAAAATCCTTAACCTATTTGTCTATATGTTATTAATAATAAATTTGTGAATGTTTATTCAAAACCTGCCAAGGAGTCCAGTTCATTTTGTTGTTTCTTTAAATACTTTGTAAAAGGTTCCCATTCTTCTTTAAAGTCACAGTTGTCCTTATCACGTAGTCTGTATGTCAATTTCACCAATTCTGCATAGTCCATCAGTTTCTCTTGCCATAGTTCTACAGTCGGGGTTTCTTCATTCTTCCATCCTTGTGCTATTAAGACTCTTGCCGCCCTTGTCACATATTCTTAAATTTCCTTGGCAGATATTCTTAAATTTCCTTGGCAGGTCTTTCCCTAAAATCCCTAATAAAAATGCTTCAGGTTTTTTGACAAATGTTAATTGGAACATTTTCTTCCACTCATTATATATCATTTCCCAAAATTTTCTAATTTTACTGCAATCCCACCACATATGGTAAAAAGTCCCTTCTTTTTCTTTTCATTTCCAATACATGTTTGAACCGGTTTTATACATTCTTCCTATCTGTGCTGGTGTTGTATACCATCTATACATCATTTTCATATAATTTTCTTTCAACAGAGAGCAATCTGTAAATTTTAAATCAGTTTTCCATAATCTTTCCCAGTCTTCAAACATTATATTGTGACCTATATCCTGTGCCCATTTAATCATTACTGATTTCACCTCTTCATCTTTTGTTTCCCATTCTAACAGACACCTAAGTATCCACCTTTCAGCAGCTTCACCTTCCCTTCTACAATTTCCTTTTGGAATCTGGATGTCGTATAGCTAAATCCTTTCTTGTTATCTTCTTTGTATATTTCATGTAGTTGCCAATAATGTAACCAACTCTGAAAATGGTAATAACTTAGGTACACTTGTCAATGGTTCTTCTACAGAAAACACCACATCACCCGCAAAGGCTTTTATCTTATAATTCGCTTGGCCCACCCATATCCCCTTTATGTCAGAATTATTTCTTATCCTCTGCGCCAACACCTCTAGGGCTGATATAGATTGAAGCAGTGATAGGGGGCATCCTTTTTTTTATTAAAAAAAATATTTTTATTCATTTTACAATACAAAAATATAAAAACACATAACAAAATTTCTCACATATACATTTTTTGTGCTTCCCTCAGCTCTTCTGCAAATCCTTCATTTTAATCCTTCTTCCGCATTTCTTAATTTTATATTGCCTTTTATTATAAACCTCCTCCCTCTTATTCCCTTTTTTACAGTATTTCTAATATTTTTTTCCCCACAAAGCCTCTTGCAAACCTACAAACATTATTTGTTCATTGCCTATACTTTTCAAATAATCTACAAATTTACTCCAGTCTTTGGTGAATCTGTGGTCTCGTAGGCCTCGGATACTTCCTGTTAATTTATCAAGTTCTGCGTATTCCATTAACTTCATTCTCCATTCTTCCATTGATGGTAGTTCTTCTTGATAGGGGGCATCCTTGCCTTGTCCCCTTCTATACCTTACATTTTTCCTGTAATGGCATTATTTACAATCAGGTTTGCAGTTTGATCTGTATAAATTGCCTTAATTCCTTTGATGAAAATGACTCCTAATTCCATTTCCCCCCTAATAACTTAATCATAAATGACCAAAACCAAAAAGAAATTCAATAGGGACTAATCTAAGGTTCTGCACTTTGGCAGCAAGAACCAGCTGCACCAATATAAGATAAGGGATACCTGGTTTGCTAGTAGTACATGGGAAAAGGATCTAGGGGTCTTATTGGACCACAAGCTTAACATGAGTCAACCCGCGAGTGATGCAGTAGCAAAAAATGCTCATGCTATTTTAGGCTGCAACAACAGAAAAGTGTCCAGATCAATGGAATACAATAATACAATGAAATTCAAAACAGTAACAATTTATTGCACATTTATTCAAAATCCATTAAAAACTATTTTGTTTAAGTAATGCAAGAAAATCGATCAGCTTGATCCAGTGACACCAGAGAGAGCCATTTTCACTTGGAAGATGCAGCGAGCTTTTTTTCTCCTGCTATGGACAGTAGGACTCGAACCAATGGCTTCAGGATACAACAAAGGAGATTCCGACTGAACATTGTTCAACAGAGGAATGGACTTCCCTGGAAGGTGATGGACTCTCCTTCCTTGCAGGTTTTAAAGCAGAGATTAGATGACCAAATGTCGTGGATTCTTTCTTTCTTTCTTGCTTGCTTGCTTGCTTGCTTGCTTGCTTGTTCTGCCCAATCTCAGTCCATATTTCATGGCTGCTTAAATCTTCTGCCTCCCTCCTGATTCTCAGTGCCTCTTCTTCTGCCAGTCTTTGGCCAGTTGAGATATCCAAATAGAGCAAGGAGGAAAATTATAACTCCTCAATGATGATGTCATCTGGATGGAAAAGAATGAAAAAGAGAGAAAATCTGTTCAGTCCTCTCGGGCTTCTTGTAGCTGGAGTCAGTCTGGGTGCTGCCCTCCCAGGGCAGGTGGGAAAGGCCTGCCAGGCAGGGAGCAGGTCCTGCAGGACTCCCAGCAAGAAGACCTGGGAGGTGTGTCTTGGGCAAACAAGGGACAGGGAGTTCATTGTCCCCAAGGTGTGGGGCTTGCTTACCTTCTTTCAGATTATTCCTGAAGCACGCCAGCTCCGGCCGAATCACTGTGTTCTGCAGACGAAAGACAAATCTGAGTCAGTTGACATTATGAACCCCACCCTGGATGGGTGTAAGAGAAGCAGCCCCACCCAGGAAGGATGGAAGCAACCAAAGAACTGAATACAGGAAAGCAAAATACTTACTCTTAGGTTTGGGAATCTTCGTGAAAGGGCCAGCAGCAGGGATATACTGCTGGCCCCTAATTTTCTTTGGTCTTCACTCCCCAAAAGGGCGTAATATCGGAGGTCCTGCAGGATGAAAGAAATGGGACAGTTAGTTGGGTAAGGGACAGGGGGGCAACCCTAAACCACTCCTGGTGCTATCAGGATACTTACGGTAAGCAACTGGAGAAGGGTGCTAGTATTGGGGGCTTCTAGGAGGAGACCCCCCAGCAGGCTTTGGAATGGTCTCTTCAGTTCCTGTGGGAAAAGAGAGAAGAGAGGTTGAGTGCTGCTGGGTTAAATTTTGTAAGAGTGTAAAAAGATGAAAGAGCTGTGCAAAGAGAAGTTAAAGCAGAGGACATACCTCTTTGTCTTCCTCTGCGCTCCCCAGAACTGCCTCTGTTGTTCTATGGAGGATTGCACTCACCGTAGAGGGACTGAAGTGGGGTCTCATAAAACTGGAGAGAGAAAGGGAAGGGGTTCGACACTGCCTCCTCCAAGTCTCCCTTGTCCCCTTCTCCCTCCTGCCTGACTTGCCCACCCAAAGCTCCCCCTGGAGTTCTGTCCCCCTGCAGCCCCACCCACCCCAGAGATCCCACTCACCTCAATTGCAGGAGGGCCTCGAAGGCCAGGGCCAGGCTCAGGGGGCGATCCCTGAAGTACTCCAAGTGGCCAAGGATGTTCTAGAAGAGAGCAGAGGAGGAAAGTCAGCTCCTTCCAGGAGTCTCCAGAGGACGGCTCCAATCCCAAATGCCAGCCCCTCTCTGCCCCTCCCTCCCCATGGGGGTCCCTCACACCACCCATCACTCACCAGAATGGCTTTGGCAGTCTCCTCCTTGGAGTACTTCAGGGTTCGGAGCCCCCTGAGCCGAGCTGCCTGGCAGTCCTGGATGATGCCCAGGAGATACAGCTGATCTTTGTCTAGCAGCTGAAAGGCAAAAGTCAGGCTGTCAGTTCCTTGTGGGGGGAGGGCTCCTCCACATCTGAGAGTGCAGAGTGGAGTGTAAGAGGGGGGCAGGTCTGAGGGATCCCCTTCCTGCTCTTGTTTTATCCAATACTCACCGCAGCGGAAGGGATGTGGATTCCCAGCACATCTGCAAAGTGAAGGACATGGGGACAGGTGAGTTCCTCCCTGAGCCCCTTGCAAGGCTTTTCCAAGAGTTTTCTCCTGGATTCCAAGTCCTACTACAGGAGAAGGACACCCCAGGCCTTGGGGGCCAATCCTAACCTCCTGCTCCCAGAACATGGCTCCCCAGGGAAGGTGCCCCTCCCGCTGACAACTGCCCCCCTGCCTTGCCCCGCAGCCCAGCCCCCTGATTCTCCCATCAGACTCCACAAAACGGGGTGGTTGCTGGAGGGGGGGCGTGTTTTCCAGATGCTGTCGCAAATAGGCGGGTTGGATCCAGCCGTCTGGCTCTGTGCATCTTTTTACTAGATGCCCCCCTAGCCCATTCCTGCCCTCCTCCGTCCCCAAAAGGAGGGCCACTTGCTCACCCGACACCGCGGGCTGCTCCAGGACTTCTAGGGGGGCCACCTTCTTGCAGCTGATCAGCCGCCTTAAGCACCTGAGCCTAGAAGAGACGAGCAGAGGGAGCGACTCAGAAGCTGGCAGACCCAATTCGTGTGTGTGTGTATGAGGAGGGGCGTCTGGCCCAATTCCTGCCATCTCTCTGCAGTTCTGCGACCTGAAAGGGCATCGCCAGAGCTGGAAAGAGGCAGCCCAGAGCAAGAATGGCTGGCAGAGAGAGAAAGGAGGCCCCAAGTGCTATGGGTTCTAGAGCTCCAGCCCAAAGGAAAGACAAGCCTTGCCAGCTGTTAAAGGGCTGCTCTGCCTCGTCTTCTTAGGACAGCCCTGCCCTTCCTTGGTGAGGGAGGAGACCCCTAGGAGGGTCCTCCAAACATCAAGGTGTCCCAGAAGAGGAGCAGAACATGAGGAAGGGGGTGGAGCCTTTCTTGGAGCCAGAGAGACCCCCCAGGAAGGGGAAGAAGGCCAATGTTGTAGGGCAGCTGGAGAAATGCAAAATGGAGCCAGGCAGAGGTGTAGTGGTTGGAGGGCTGGACTGGGAGGACCTGGGAGAGCAGGGTTCAAATCTCCACTCAGCCATGAAGCTCCCTGGTGGACCAGAGAGCTAAAGCTGTGGAGGGGACCCAGGACTCACACCCCGCCCCCAGGAGACCAAGAGAAAGCAAAGGAATGGTACTTACAGCCTGCACATCTTCTTGATGAAACCCCCCCTATCTAAGCTAACTACCTAGCTAAAATTCCCACCCAAGCCTGATCCCAAACTCTGATCCCACCCCCACCCCCAAACCCAGCCCTAACTCTAAACCTAACCCCCACCCTAACCCTACACTTACCGCTAACTATTTCTCTATAAACAAAAGAAATATGCACACAAATGTGCACAAATGCACAAAATGCGCACAACTGTGCACAAATGCGCACAAATCTGCACAAATCTGCAGAAACGCACACAAATGCGCACAAATGCGCACAAATGCGCACAAATATGCACAGATGTGCACAAATCTGCACAAATATGCACAAATATGCACTAAAAATAAAATAAAATAAATAAAATAAAAATAAAAATAAAAATAAAAATAAAATAAAAAAAATAAAAATAAAAATAAAAAAATAAATAAAATAAAATAAAATAAAAAATAAAAAATAAAAAAGCAAAATAAAAGTGTTAAAATAAAAAAGGTAAAATAAAAAATAAAATAAATAAAAATAAAATAAAATGAATCAAATAAAAGTAATAAAGAAAAGAAAAAGAAAAATAGCAAGCAAATCTCTCCTCTTCTACAACCACCACCACCACTACCTCTCTCTCCTGACTCTCCTCACTAACCCACAATGGCCGCCTGCAAGTCAGAGGCTTTTAAGGGAAGAGCAAGAGATGTCACAAAGGAGGGCAGGTCCTTGTCACCATGGCAACCCCTCCACCTGGACCAGGCCCCTCCTGAGAGGTGATGCTTCTCTGTCAAAACTTTGAGGCACCTTCTGTTCCGACTGCTGCTGGGCTGTATCTTCTATCCACAGATTCACATCGGAATTTCACATCCTTCTTTCTGCAACCCCATTTCCAAAGGGAGACCATCCCCACATCCTTCAAGGCAGGCTAGGGGTCTCCATAGCGCAGCATTGGACCATCTGCTTTGCATGCAGGCCTTCTGTCCTGGGAATGCCCCCCCCATTCGAAACCCTGGATAGCTGCTGCCAGTCAGCGCAGGCTAGTTGAAGAAGGATATTGAGCAGCTGGAAGGTGAGCAGAGGAGGGCGACCAGGATGATGAAGGGTCTGGAAACCAAGCCTGATGAGGAACAGTTGAGGCAGCTGGGTATGTTTAGCCTGGAGAAGAGGAGACAGAGAGGAGAGCCATCTTCCAATATCTGAGGGCTGCAAGAGGGAGCAAGGTGAGATGTGCTGCCGCTGCAGGTTTGATGAGTTAAAAGGTACGTTTCCCTAGTTTGCCACATCCTAGTATATTATAGGTTGATTCCAGACAGGTTTTATTGTGGGATTGGCACTGCTCTCGCATACACCCCCATGACATCAGCATCAAAATGCTAGGCTGTGTTTCATTCCTTTTATATTCAGTTTCGCAGTTTTCACAGAAAACCAGACAAGTAAAAAACAGAAACAATAACCCTGCTGCCAACTTCCCATTTGCAATTTCTGAATGGCCAGTTTACAAGATTAAGTCCCCAGTTGGAAGCACCCACAGACATTTCAGTTGCCGCACAACTGGGCTGGGGATAGGGCAGGATGCAATCATATTGTGCAATTCAAATGTTTGTACATAGCACTAGCAAAGGTGCAAGATCCTGCTGGTGGGTAAATACGTATTGGAAGGTATATGCTTGAGGGTTTCCTATAGACATCTAGCTGGTCACTGTGAGAACAGGATTCTGTTCCAGATAGGATTCAGCAGGGCTCTTCTCAGTGGCGTAGCTAGCCGCTCGGGTGCCGGGTGCAGTCCGTGCGTCCTGCAGCCGGGGGTGGGGCAAGCCACCCATGGAGCCAGGGTGCGCTGTGTGGAGCCTCTCTGCTGCCTCCCCCTTGGCTGTAGGGCAGGTGAGGGAGAGACAGAGGGCAGACGCAAGTCCCACACTGCCGTTTCAGGCAGCGCAGAGCCTGCAGGCCCCCAAGCCACCATGTCACTCCCAGGAGAGTTGCGTGGCTCGTGCACACTGCAGGCCCCATGGTAAGTGCTGGCCTCTGTGGTGTGGCACCCAGTGCCAGCCACGTTTCGTTACATTTGTTGACCGAACTAAAACGTTTTGTGAGCCCATTTTTTTTTCAAAAAAAGAAAAGAAAACCTCATTTTTTCCACCCTCCTCAGTGATGACACCTGGGGCAACCCATCCCCCCACCCCTCACCCCTTCCTCCGCCACTGACTGAGACAGTTTATTATTATTTTTTTTAAAGTAATTTTTATTAAAGTTTTATACAACAAAGAAGTAAAAGAAAAACATACACAATACATATAACAAAAACACAAATAACAAAAAAAAAAGCAAAATTCAACAATAAAAATACAAGAAACATAACAATTTAAAAACAATATCTCTGTTTCATTTCCGTTTTTTAGTTGCTTATTTTCTGGACTTCCTCATACCTCCCTCTTTTGTATTCCAATCCAAATTATTTGTCCAGCAGTTTCTTTTCCACTTTTTAATCCCAATCTTTAATTTGATAAGATATTAAAATATATAGCTTCAACTTCTTTAAACCTAATCCTTGGTCTTAATATCATATACCATTAAAATCTTCCCTCTTAATATCAAATTTCCATTTCTTTAAACATCTTTAATCTTAATCTTTAATCTTAATCTATCATTAGCTTTAACCTGTACAGCTGGAAACCTCTTGTTTTCAGTCCAACATCACTCTAACATTCCTTAATTTTACAGTGTTTCTGAAGGTAGGGTTCTGAGACAGTTTATTATACCCATACAAAGGTGACCATATACTTTCATTTTTTTATTTTTTTAAAAATGATATTTATTGAGAATTTTAAGATTACAAAAAAACAAAGAAAAAAAGAAGGAAAAAACAAGAAAAAAACAAATAACAATTAAACAATACAGATCAATAAAAAGCAAAAGCAAAACACATAATACATCAAAATCAAAAAGAAAAAATAAACAAAAAAAATTTAAAAACAGATCCAGTATTCCCAAATCCTTAACTGTCATTACCTTATTTCATTGACCTCCTCACACCTCCCTTTTTTGTATTCTAGTTGTTAATTATCTCAGCAAATCCTTTCCATCTTTCATAATATTCTGTCGTTAAATTACCTTAATCTATTTTAACCTTATCTTACCATAAAAAACACTAAAACTTAAAACTTAAATCTTATTTATACCAATTTCTCATAACCATAACATATTCTTACATAATTCTTTTTAACATTTCTGCTAAAGCCAAATAATTTCGTTCCAACATTTTTCTAATACTCATTAATTTTACAAAACCTTCCTAAATAAATTTTTAAAACTTTCTTCCAATCTTCATCCAACGTCTCTTCCTCCTGGTCTCGGGTTTTGTCAGTCCTTTCTATCCCATCCATCTAGTTCATTAACCTGGTAGCCTTATGTCCGAGGCCCTTAAATCTCTTCCATGTCCCTTCCGCAGGTCTTCTTCATATTTATACCTGTACTTTACTTTGTCTTCTGCTCCTTTCACTCGTGGAGACTCCAGCTTGACGATATTTTTGTCCCTTCTCGACAGATCAGCCCCTTTTCCATAATCAACACTGAACTCCATGTGGTATTTAAAAGCATATTTCAAGGTCCCTCCAAAGTTAAGGGCCCCCACGACTTCGAACTCCTCCCGGCCCAAAGTCAGACTTGAAAGGTCAAAACACCCCTGCATAGGGGGGTCTATCCAGCCCCCCATCTCCAAGCCAAGCAAGACTCTCCAAATCTGGCTTTTTCCAGGTTCATTTGTCAGATCCAACAACTCACGTTCCTGCTGGGCCACAGTTCCCTCCATCTCTGCCTCCTGAGGTCCAGCAACAACCTCCTCCCTCATCTGATCTGTCAGAGCACACTCCTGGATTAATTCCTGAGTGGGTTCTATATAGATACCCACTGCCTGTCCAAAATTTTCAATCGCAACTGTCATCAAATCCGTCTTCTCATGTAGCTGTTCCAATAAAGCACTTGTCTTGCAGAAAGCACACACCAAAGCCTCTGAGTACATTCTTGTGCAAGGTCAGAGTCTGTTCCCATGATCTTAATCTATTGCAGCTACAAAGCTTCCCAGTTCAGATTTAATAACAGTTTCACAAGCTCCCTCTAGGGGAAAAAGCTTCTATTTGTATCCATCTCTCTCTCTTTTTTTTTTTTAAAAAGCAGATCTAACAACAAAGTTTCCTTTTTCAGATATTTTGTCAATATTTTGTTCCTTTTAAATGAGATGGGAACAATGGAATCAATATGTTTCTCTTCTTTTAACTATCTGTCAAAAACGTTTGTCTATAGTCAATGAACTTCCTGAGGACGTCTGTCCTGACACCCCGCTCCCAGGTTCAAGACGGTGGAAAATTACTTTTCTTTACACTCTCTTCTGCAGGTTTAAACAGTCCAGAAAAAGTTCCCCCCTCTTCTCCTGCTTCCAAGGGGGGTTCAGTAATTTTAGATGATGAAAATTGATCCTTTACAGACGACTTTCTAAACTCTAGCTTGCCGTGTCTTTGCTTTAATCTATCTACAAAGCGGAAGGCAGACTTCCTGTTTAGACCTTCCCGCTTCAGTGCCAAATTAAAAGAAATTTCTTAGTCCAATTTTCCGTTCTACTCACGAACAGTTATTTAAGATCCAATTGTCCACAGGAAAAAGTCAGCGCTCTCCGGCAACAGCAATGTGGCTTCACTCCCTGAAAGAAGCAGTCGATTCGAAGCACCGCGCCACACCCCACATCGCTCTGTATCCCCGAAACCGGGGTTCCCCGCGAGTAGGGGGGGGCGCAAAGGTGCCAGCCGAATCCCACGTCCACAGGCTTCTCCCACCTGTGGTTTTTGATGGGTCTCCGCCTCGCCGTGGCGGTTCAGACCCTTTTTTCCACGGAGCGGATTCCTCCCGATCGGAGGAAATCCGCCATTGCCAGAGGCGCCAACCCGGAAGTCACCCATACAAAGGTGACCATATACTTTCAGAAATACTAACCAGTCCTTCTTTTGACTTTCAACTTTTGAGTCAGAAATTGAACATGACTAATGCTTTGATGTCCTTGGTTGAAGGTAACCCCTACATGCTCAGATGTGATTTTCTCTTTCCTTACATAGTCTCGTGTTCAAAGTCTTTGAAAAGCTGACGTTAAATCTAAGTCCAATCCACGTCCTCATTTAGAATGCCGAATAAAACAAAGCCACTTCCTGCAAAGATCGGAAGGGACAGCTCTGTGGGAAGACCTGCTGGGATGAGCAGTTTATGATGTTGTGGATCTCAGCGGGCTGATTTCCAGCTCAGCTGGTGTTAAGCCCCCATCCCCAGCTCAGCTGAAGATATGCCAGCATAACTTGCTCATCCCAGCTCAGCCATAGCTCAGCTGGCTGAGTTGAAACTGATGGAGCCATTTATGGTATAAGCCATGGGTAGGCAAACTAAGGCCCAGGGGCCAGATGTCACCTTCTAAATCTGGCCTGCAGACAGTCCAGGAATCAGCGTGTTTTTACATGAGTAGAATGTGTCCTTTTATTTAAAATGCATCTCTGGGTTATTTGTGGGGCATAGGAATTTGTTCATTTTCTTCTTCGAAATATAGCCTGGCCCCCACAAGGTCTGAGGGACAATGGACTGGCCCCCTGCTGAAAAAGATTGCTGACCCCTGGTGTAAGCAGTGGTGTAATGGGGGGGGAGCCTCAGGAGAGGTTGCACCGGGCCCAAAATTGCTAGGGGGCACAAAATTTCAACACCTGGCGCTGCCTGAATTCAGCCGCATGCTTCTGTTGTTGGGCTCTGTTGAAAGGGCTCTGTTGAAAATGGCTTCTCCATGCGAACCAGGAAGTGACCTCTCCAGACAATGGGACAACTCTTCTTTTCTTATCTCGGTGGCTGTAAGCTCCTGGGTGATGCGGACGCTGTTAGACACTTAAATGCGCATGCATACTCTGTCGGTTTCCCACCCTCCCACTCACCCCTCCATGCAGTCCCGGGCTCTGACAACCCACGCTACGCCACTGGGTATAAGTGCACCCAAAAGGGACATTCAGAAGGGAAAGGAGATTTAGGCTGGATCCCAAGCCCGTTCTGCTCAGTCATGTGATCTGGCAACCCAACATAAAACACTATTTTAAAGGTTTCTTTCCCCTTTGCCATGCTTAGGCAGAGCAACAGCAGAAGCCCTGCTGCTGAATGTGTTCCAATGTGGTGTAACTTTACACCAGCTTGCTTTGTGCCACCCTTTTGCACATGGGATTGAAATCCCCAGCATCCCCCATGCCTGTCAAGGGAGCTGACACGTAGCACACTTTGCAGAGCAGAGAGAGAAGGCAACCCCTGCTAACTTGCAGTTAGTCCTTTTAAGGGACGCAGGTGGCGCTGTAGTCTAAACCATTGAGCCTCTTGGGCTTGCCGATCAGAAGGTTGGCGGTTCGAATCCCCACAATGGAGTGAGCTCCCGTTGCTCTATCCCAGCACCTGCCAACCTAGCAGATCAAAAGCACGCCAGTGCAAGTAGATGAATAGGTGCCACTGTGGTGGGAAGGTAAATGGCGTTTCCATGCACTATGGTTTCCATCATGATGTTCTGTTGCTCCAGAAGCAATTTAGTCATGCTGGCCACATGCCCCGAAAGCTGTCTGTGGACAAACACCGGCTCCCTCGGCCTGAAAGCGAGATGAGCGCCGTAACCCCATAGTTGCCTTTGACTGGACTTAACCACCCAAGGGTCCTTTACCTTACCTTTACATTTACCTAGTCCCTTTATTAATGAATCAGAACAGAAAACACATGGAGACTCGAGCGACATACTCCACCATAGCGAACAGCTTCTCAGACTGTCTTGCACCTCTGACTTCACTCCATTCCCTCTGCGTCAGGCCCTTCCCTCTGTCTATGGCGAGCTCTAAGGGACCCTCTCTGTCTCTGCTTGGCTCTCTGTTCTGTTATATGTCGCAAATGGGAGGAGCTGCCAGGCTGCCAGCAGAAACACTGTTCCGGGGGGGTCTGTAAAGCTGCTAAGTCTGACTCCTCTCCTTGCTCTGTGCTGGGGCACCTGCCTGTTTTCCCCTTTTCCTCATCCTCCAAGCTCCCAGTCTCTAGTACATCCCAGCTCTTCCCCTCCTCTGGGGTGCATCCGGTTGCCCAGGATCCCGGGTCCAAATTCTCTTTCTTTGCACTTTCCCTGAGAGGGCTCTCGGTCAGGCGGTTTCTACCACTCCACCTCACCTAGTCAGTCCCTGACAATGCCCTTAGCAATCCTCAATGTATGGGTCAGCCCTCAATGCATAAGGATTTATTGTGGCAGTTTGCTTGGTCCTGATGAAGGTACTCTACTTTTGCTTGGAAATAATTCTTCTGCTGAACCATCTGGAATTTTGAGTGTGTGTGTGGTTTATTACAAAACTCCATTTAAGCATTATGAAGTATTTGAATGCTGACATATTTAATAGCACCGGAGATGTTCTCCATGTGTTCATGATCTGCCTGTTGCCCTCAGACATCAGACCTTGAGGGAAGTACACTCTGGCCTCTGCCATTGGCCAGGGACCCAAGGGACCGAGGGAGGCCACAGCCCCTGCCTCCCAGGAAGAACATTATGGCCAGAGGAAGACAAGTCTGTCCCCATCCATCAGGAAGCAATGAGTTTGTTTCCTCCTTGCCTGCCAGAAAGAACACTTGGCTCCAATTGCAGAGCAGAAGGGAAGTACACTATGGCCCCATCCATCAGCCAGGGGACGAAAGACTGCTGGGTCATTTTCAGACCCTCCATCCAAGCAAGACCACCAGGGCTGGAAGATCAGCCTGGTCCCAAACTGTATATAAATCCCTGTTTTTAGTTCACCACTTTGTTTCTGGCACTGTCAAACTGTTCTCCCTTTCCCCCTTCCATTCCCCTCCCCTTCTACGTTTTCTCTTTTTAGATTTGTCAGCCTGCCTCTCCTTCTCCAAGCTTGGTTCTTATTTGGATGGGGTCACTGGAGGCAGGTAACAGGTTTATCCCACTCCTCAGCTGAGTACTCTTTTGCTTTCTCACATGTAAGCAAAGAAGTGAGAACTACAAAGCGTGTTCTCCTTCATGGAGAGCACGTGTTGTGGTGGGGTCTAACAAGACATCCCACTGTTGCTGGGCGGGAAAGATAAGTTGGCCACCGTTGCGACTGGGCTCTTCTTGTCGTTGGGGAGAATTCGATGTTGCCATTTTGTGATTGACAGCCATAAGCTTTATATTCCCTGCGCGCAGCATTGAGCTTCCTCTTTTCGCTGCGTGCATCGGATCACCCTCCCACCCTCCCTATATTTAGGGTTTTTCGCTTGACCTTGCTATGCCTGTCATGGGGTCGTCTGCTTTTGGGGCAGGGGCCTGGTAGGAATTTTGTTCATTTGGCTGATCGGCTGGTGCCATTTGGTTTTTGCCTACTGCGCAGCAAATCGTCACAACTTGTAAGGTTGCGGTTAGGCATTGGTTTTATGAATTGGTTGGTGGAGGGGCATGGATTGGCTGTGCCTGCCCCTCCAATACTGCTGCTGCAAGAGTATTCCGTTAAAGGAATCCAGGGGCTTGCCATGCTTTTGTCTGAATCCTGTCAAGGGGCTAGGGCCACGCAAGAGCCCCTGGGAGCATTTGGGGAGAGGTGAGGGCATGGTACCCAGCTCCATCTTTCTCCCCATTCGCGGGCATGCAAATGTCAGTCTGTCCCCCATGGTGGGGTCAGATAGTCGCAACCAATGCCTCAGCAACCACTCACATTTTTTGTATTTTAATAAAGTTGTGGCCAAAATTATGCCAAAAACCTTAAACAAAAATTATGTGTGAATTGTGTTTTATTTGGGGTGGCCTGGGGACCTCAACACGCAACACAATGTGTGGATGGCTGTTCAGAGTGCCAGTCAGCCAGCCATTCCATTCCAGGATACTCCATTCTATTCCCTCTTTTCTAGATTTCGTTTCTATAAACAGTCAGTATTCGGTCACCACTGAGTATACCCAGCCCTCATTGGAATGATTTCGGTTCTTTCCCTTGCCCTTTAGCTTTGGATGTGCAGCATTCCTGCGCTCATAGCATTGCAATGATTACAAGTCAGTTCCCATGGGGAAAACGGTGAGGCTATATTCCTGATCAGGTTTGAAAATATTTATGCAAATCTGTTTTCCCAGAGCTGTACACGAGCTGCTCAACCTTGCAAGATTTGCTGGAGCTACCCAGAAAGAATAAGGTCAGAGCAAAAAAATAAAAAAATAAAAATGTATTGAACATTTCAGGTCCCCTTCTAGAATGAACACATACAACAGAAACACTCGTGTTTTCTTTTGAGAGACAGAGAGAAGTTTGTTCATTCTTGCTGGTGACTGAGCTCACTGCAGGAAGCCAGAAGCAGATCTTGCTTGCCATAAACCCAATGGTGTTTTTCCCATATAAATAAATGGTTCCCATTCTTTCATATCTGAAATAGGTAAAGTGATGTCCTTGGGGATACTGTCCTGTTGAGGGCATGGTGTGTGTGTGTGTGTAAATTTGTCTCTGCGCAGAATGCACTGCACCCTCAGGGCTCTTTATGAATTGAAGGCTTTTCTCAAAACACACGTACCGACAATGACATCTTGCTAGTTAAAAAGAAAAAGCATAGCCATGACACTGAACTCCAGTGCTAATGCTGCAGCTCAGGGAAAGCTCTTTAGAAGAGAGAGAAAAAAATGCCTATGAATGGATCTTACCTGAGCTTGCTTATTGCTGCTTGCTCAGGACCTTAGGCAAATATTTGTTTTCTACTGTGGTACATATTTGGCATTGTTTGAGCTAACCCTTCTTTCAGAGTACATATAGTTTTGTAAAAATGCCAATACCTCGCTTTTGAAACACAGTTTATGCAATCTCGGAATGTCATTGCATGCTTGTTTTCCAGCAGGGATATTCATACTTTCATCACCTTATCAGTAGATCGTTAAGGAGAAATTTCTCCTGCGATTCTTTATGCCCCACAAGGTAGGCAGCGTGTCATAATCTTAAGTTGCTCAGATCACTAAGGCTGTGATCCTAAGCTTATGCACTACGAAGAAAAGGCATTCTACTTTGCTCAGGGCTGTTTCACAAATTACATGGTAGACATTTCAAGTTGCCACACTGAGTTTATTCCCATCAGGGAACAGTAACTCAACAGACACCTGGGTGAGTGTACTTGTCTGTTACACATGTTTTCACAAATGCGATTGTCATATTCATGGTTGCCATTTGCAAGGGAACAAAAGTACAAAATTGGGCCTGAGTGTCTAAACCTGCAAATTACTTTCCCAATGTATAAAAAGCAAAGAAGTTTAAATCCACATTTAACACGTGCACACACAAATTTAGAAGATATATATCAAATACAATCTAAAATCTCATTGTTATAATCATGGCAATATAAAATTACATCAGAACATCATCTTATATGGCCAGCAAAATGTGACCAACGATATTGCTATAGGCCAAAGATGTTTCAACCCTAGAAGGGTCTTCTCAAATGGTCAATATGCTTAAATATCAGTGTTGTCACCAAATATGACTCTTAGCTAGTCTGTATAGACTTCATGGACTGAGCTATCTTATCCATAGAAAATGTCATGCCCTTTAATAGAGCTGAATGTATGTATGTTGTTATGTAGCTTGCCCGATCATTTGTGATTCAGGGGTTTACTCCAAGACGTTAGCTTTCAAAGGTCAGCCAGCAAACATGCATTTTTAAATGTGCATGCCATATCAAGAACACTGTACTCCAGAAACAGTGATGGTTCCCCACCCCCACCCCCACCCCCAAATAATGTGCAAAACAGAAGCAAATCCCTTTCTAGTGCATGATAAAGTACATAAACTCTGTCATTTGGCCTGTTCTGCTGAGGCAAGGGATCCCTGCAGAATTGACTCTATGGCCACAGGATTTCCTGCTGCTGCCCAGATGTGCCACAAATTCCCTGTTGGGTTTGGGATGTTTTTTTTACATTAATTAAGGACATACGAAGTAGCATCTGCTCAGTATAGCCTATGTACGCTAGCCTTTCCCAAACCTTGTGCTGTCAGATGCTTTTAGAATACAGTTCCTATCATCCTTGACCATTAACCATGCATTCCCTCCCTCCCACCCCTCTGTGCAGCCCTGGACACTGGTAACCCACGCTATGCCACTGGGCAAAAGGTTGGGGAAGGCTGGTAAATGCTAATTGCCTAGTGCTGATTCCCTGAGTGTGGATCAGTGCCACCATCCGCATCTGTAGGGCTGAGTGAACCCAAAGGTTATTTACCAAAAAAAAGACAAAGAAAACCCTTAGCAGGGGGAGGGGGACACCCAAACAGCCCAATAAGGACTGAACATTCTGAGTTGTTCTACAAGATGCTGGCTGAAAAGTGGACTGGACTGGTAAAGGGACCCCTGACCATTAGGTCCAGTCGTGGCCGACTCTGGGGTTGCAGCGCTCATCTCGCTTTGTTGGCTGAGGGAGCCGGCGTACAGCTTCCGGGTCATGTGGCCAGCATGACTAAGCCGCTTCTGGCGTACCATAGCACTGCATGGAAACACCATTTACCTTTCCACTGGAGCAATACCTATTTATCTACTTGCACTTTGACATGCTTTTGAACTGCTAGGTTGGCAGGAGCAGGGACTGAGCAACGGGAGCTCACCCCGTCACGGGGATTCGAACCGCCGACCTTCTGATCGGCAAGTCCTAGGCTCTGTGGTTTAACCCACAGCACAACCCGCGTCTCTTAGAGTGGGGTGGGGTGGGGAGATGGAAAATCAGGGCAGAGAGAGGTTTTAATATAGAGTGTCCTGGTTGGTTATATTTTGCTCCAGATCTTACGGAAGGGTGACATGGATATTTTTAAAATAAATAAATAGTAAATCCTCAGGGCATTGCATAACAATCCCTGCTTAAGCCTCAAAGTGTTTTGTTTGATCACTGGATGTGCTCGAGTCAAATAAAAGTTACAATATGGCAATGTGGTCAGTAAATGCTGAATCAGGGATTCCAGCCCCATCTTCCTCTCTTTTTCCCCAAGGGCAAAATCTGAATATATTTCATGTAAAGGAGTTGAGCTTTGGGGATTATTTATAGGGAATCTACTGAAATATGTATAAGATCCTAATATAGCAATTATATTTTGTCTGCTAGGATGTGGTCAACCACAACTTCTGCCTTGAACTCCAAGCCAACCCTCATGCTAAAGCCATCAGAGAACTTCTATAGCTGGATGAATTTGTGGTAAATATGTGAAGAAAAGGTAGGTCACCTCCAAAGCAGTTCAACACCGTGCTGCCATTCATCTGGTAAAGTGGTTGGCTGCGTCTATCCAAAGGGCATATGTCAAAGTCAAAATTCACAAACACTTTGAAATTGCATAGCTCTGAATATGCTGCTTCCGTCCTTAAATGCAAGTGTGGAAAACTAGTCTGCTTATTATATATTTGGATAATGAGACACTTGGGCTTCCAGTGAAAGAGATGTAACCCCAAACTTGCTCTTTTAGAGGGAATTCAACCTCACCCAGAACAGGTAACTTGCCAGGTATTAGAAGAGGCCTCACATTAATTTGAGACAAAATAAACATGGAAAGCACACTTCCATTGGTAATCATAATTATGCCCAAGAAAAAATTACATATCCTCCAAGTGTCCCTATTTTCCAGGAATGTCCTTGATTTAGAGAAGCCATCCCAGTTTCAGATTTGATCCCAGAATGTCCCACTTTTCCTTAGGATGTGGCTAATTTCATTGGAGAACTGTTGGAGGGTATGGAGTTATCCGACTCCCGAGCCATCTGAAAGCAATCCTGTATAGGGAAGGTTTCTTTTTAATGCTTTCTTATGTCTTTATATATGTTGGAAGCCGCCCAGAGTGTCTGAGACAACCTAGTAAGGTGTGTGGGGTATAAAAAGTAAATTATCATTATGGAATGGGACGTCCCTATTTTCAGTGGAGAAATGTTGGAGGGTATGAAATTAAAGTTTTATTTACTTGTAAAACTCCGTTAATAGAAATCTACTAATTCGCCTCAGTAGAGGAATTTTAGAATCAGTTTAGACTGAGTTTACACAACTTGGAACCCAATGGCTATCAATTGAGTCCTGCCTCCATGTTTCCAGTTGGAAGAAAATACGAATAAATAAGAGATTGCCTATGTGACAGGCTCAGCTTTATGGCCAGTTTACAAGGTATGCAAATTTGGCTTCAACTGTTGTGTGCAATTTCTGCACAGTGCACCAACAATACCTTCTATTGTTTTGCTGAGGGCTCTGCATTTCATCTTTGACCAGGTGCTTGACTATATTAACAGTTGTGTTTCTATAGTGAAGTAAACATCAGTGCCTGAGGGAATATATATATATATATCAGTGTCACTTGCAAACACATGGAAAGAAAGATGAAGAACTGCATAGTCCTTCAACTTTCTCCCAATGGATTAATGGATTTACTCCAGGTAGTTTTCAATACAATCAAATATTTGTGCAAAACAGTGAGTAATCTGAGCACAGTTCTACCCATAGACAGATCTGATGCTATCATGTTGTCCATCAATAAATTATGTCATATTTGTTCATCAGAGACTAGCCTGCCAAGCCCAGAGACGGATGCTTTGGAGTCCTGACTTCAACTGAAATGCATGTCTCTGTCAATTATGAATCTATCTTGCAAGCAGGGATGAAATAAATCAGGACGGGTGTCAAGAAAACCGTCTCAGGTCACATTCACATTTGTGGTGCCAAAGAAACACCCTCTGTTCCCATCTTTAAACATAAGGCAACACCCCAAAACCACCGGGATGCAAATGCAGGAATTGGCGCACGTATTCCTAGCTGGAATAACACACATGTCCACACATGTTTCTCCTTTGCAATACAACAATCAACATACTTGAAATTCCACAGGTCAGCTGGTTATGGGAGAGTGTGGGAACTGGAGTCAGCATCGCCTACATCTTCTATTCCATCCAACGTGCAAATCAGTGGGGTTTCAGCTGTTTAAAAACAAGGCTGTATAGGCCTGCAGAGATCACTGTAACTGTTGGACTAGCAACAGCCAACAATGAAGATGGGACAGCCTAGCATCACCTTCCATTCCCTGTTAATGTATTAATACTGGCTTAACTTGCGGTTTGGAGTTGGGTGACACTGATATGCAGAGAACACCCAGCTCTCTCTCTCTCTCTTTTTCATCTGAACCATGAGTAGTGGTGGAGCCCAAAATGGGTGCCTGGAGTCGGCTAACTTGGGTGGGATTGAGGCTAACAAAATAATCGAGATCAAGACAGGTACTGTTGGTGAATTTCTTGGAAGTGGGATTTGACCTGTTCTGGACAAGGTTACACTGCTGCTTGAGGATTAGGTCAGAAGTAGCTTGCCAGATTGCCCTTACCACTATGTTAGCTTCCAGGCAGGTGGGTAGCTGTTGTTCACTGGGAGACAGGGGTGAGATGGTGGGAAGGTCAATATAGTTCAGTTGCACCAACAAGATTGACTCTGCCAGGGCGTTTCATTATGCCAGCCTCCCTGCACGACGCCCCTCCCAGCAATTCACCTTCTTCTCACATGTCCTCCTCAGGGTAATCCTACATTTGGGTGGTGTGTTTGTGCAGAGGCAAATTGTGCAGAGTGGGACTGGTTCAGTTGCACTGGGTGTGGAGTCTCTGGGGTGCTACCGGGAAGGCCACAACTATGATTTAGAATGGAGTAGCAAAGGGGTGCCAAATTTTGGTGTTGCAGACGCGGGTGGCGCTGTGGGTTAAACCACAGAGCCTAGGCCTTGCCGATCAGAAGGTTGGCGGTTCGAATCCCCGCGACAGGGTGAACTCCCGTTGCTCGGTCCCTGATCCTGCCAACCTAGCAGTTCGAAAGCATGTCAAAGTGCAAGTAGATAAACAGGTACCGCTCCGGCAGGAAGGTAAACAGCGTTTCTGTGCGCTGCTCTGGTTCGCCAGAAGCAGCTTAGTCATGCTGGCCACATGACCCGGAAGCTGTACGCCGGCTCCCTCGGCCTATAAAGCAAGTTGAGCGCCGCAACCCCAGAGTCGGCCATGGCTGGACCTAATGGTCAGGGGTCCCTTTACCTTTACCTTAGGGTCAACATACGTCCAGGAAAACTCAGACATGCCCTCTTTTGGGGGACCAACATGCCCATCTGAGTGGATTTTTACATTTTAAAGGAAATGTTTGGGGTTTGGGGCGTGTGGCTTGGGTGGCTGTCAGGGACTGGATTGAGGGGGACGAGCCTGAGGAGGAATGGTGGAGATCGTCCCCCTCGACTTCCTCAACCTTGGCCCTCCAGATGTTTTGAGACTACAATTCCCATCATCCCTGACCACTGGTCCTGCTAGCTAGGGATCATGGGAGTTGTAGACCAAAAACATCTGGAGGGCCGAGGTTGAAGAAGCCTGAATTACAGCATGGTTTGAGGGAGGTCACAGCTCAGAGACTGCTGAACAGAAGAGTTGGGAGGTGTTGGGAGAAGAGAAGGGGGAGACAGAGGCAGACCAGCCAGGTGACACGTTATCACTGGAGAGTATTTCTGACCCCCCTTCTCCCAGAACCTGGCGTTCATTGAGAGTGCAAGAGCAAAGGACTCAGAGACAATTAGCCTCTGGTGGCCACCATAAGGGGAACTGCTGTAGCTAGGAAGAGAGGCAGGAGGAGCTCAGTTGAAGCAACGCCATTAACGGCAGATAAACTCCATTCCTTTGTCTCTCATGGTGATGATTGAATCAACTTATTAGTAAGAACTCTTCTTTTTCTCTGCTTCTTGCTGCTACCGGGGGAGGGATAGAATTTCTCCGAAGCATGACAGTGGCTTGGGCTTGGGCTTGGGCTCAGACACAGGCAGCTCGGGTGTGGGCACGGGCTGCTGTTCATGCCATGGCCTCTGCCAGCCCAAGCCGGGGAAAGAGGCACATGGGCACGACAGCAGTGGCCCTGCATGCCTTTACCCACACACCTCATTCCCCAGCTCGGGCTGGCAGCGGCTCAGGCTGTCCTCTTTTTTGCTCTTCGAGGTATGGCAACCTCAGGTTGTGCAGGGAGCTGGTTAAATGTGAGACCCCAAAATCTGTCATTGGGGTGTGTGTGTGTGTGTGTGTGTGTGTGTGTATGTGTGTGTGTGTAAAACAAGTCAGCAGCCACCAAAGAGAGATGATCCATTCAGGAATAGGATGGAGTGAAGGGCTCAGTCCCAACTCCCCTATATGCATGATAGGCCACCAGACTGAGCATGTGTTATACAGACCAATCCCTCCATGGGGATTTCCTCTTTTGGGCCTTGCCAAATGCACACATGGTATCCATTTGAGTCTGTAGTTCCTGGTGCAGCTAAGGATCTGAGCACATATGGACATAACTGGATCAGGGAAATGGGAGGGATTTGACACGTGTACTACGCTTATGCCAGGATGCAAAGAGTGTGCAGTCAAAAACCCTGGAAAATAGGCTTTTTAAAGGATTTTCAGTTCAACGGAAATGCTGTCAATGCTTGTAAACATTGAAAACTAAGCTAAAACTCAAACCGCTCTGCTTCGTACTGGAGGGGCACTTATCAATTACATATGCAAACAGAAAATGTTTTCCACTGAAACAGGCTTCTAAATGAGCTTCTGTGTCTAGCTGAAAATGAAATCTTTGTAGGTTTTCAGATCTACTGGAGTGAACTGAAATTTTCTGTTCTAATTCATGAAGTCTTTAAAAACCTTGCTCTTAACTTATCAAAATACTTTTAAATATCTGGGGGTCAGTTCCACTAACATGCGAACATAGGCTTCCATTTCCTTACCTCCCTCATTGTGTTTACAGAGAATGCAGTGTAAACTGTGTGTGCGTGTAGTTTGTGTATATGGAGAGAGGAAGAGGCCATCTACAAGTTTGCAATTTACCAGAGTTTAGTCTATGAAGAATGAGCTATAAACAAAGACGGCCAAAGGCCACTTGCTTTGGCCAAGAATGCTTGGGTTTCTGGCTATATTGTTTTCTTGGCCTTCAAGCTTTGTTCTTGCAACATTCCGCCCCCCCCCCCATAGATGCTCAAACCAAAAAATTCTGCACTAGTGCCTCTTTATTAGCTATAGCCCCATGTAACATGATCTCTCAATTTATACTCAGAATGAGCATGTTTGTCCAACTCATTTTCTGATGCATGTATTGCCCAGGGAGGCACATTATGTGACCCATGAGAACAGCAAAAGAACCAGACTGTACAACGCCGATGGGATAAAATCCAGGCCAAATCTTTATTGACAGCAGCAGGCAGGGCAAGGGTTGGCATGGCATGGGGTCCCAGGATCAGTTCATCATTCCACAAGCCCCACGTTGATGGAATGGATCTGCCCCAAACCTGTTCCATGGGAGTCGGCCAGTGTTGAACCTTGCTGTGGGGCAAACTGAGCAAGCAAAGTCTCACTGCATGACCAGGGTGCAGATTCCTACCAGGCAGATACCCCAGCATTGAGCTTCAGTCAATCCTCCCTTTAGGCACCTTATGGGGGCTCCTCTATACCAGGGACATTCAATCCCCAAGAGACTGTGATCTACTCCCGGGGAAAAAACCCTAAAAAACTAGCAGTGATATACCTAGGAGGGGGCAAAGCCAAACTTCTTGAGCTTTTTTTAGGGGAGCAAGCCAAACTTCTTGAACTTTTTTGGGGGGGGACACATACTTCTGATCCTTTGGGGGGGGGACATGTCATAAATTGCTTGCCAGGTAGTAAACCCAGCAGTGATAACTCCGTCGTCCGTATTGGCAATTGTGCGTGAGTGATGGACAGAGCGAGGGGGCAGGGCCGGATGCTCTTTTCCCCCTGCGGAGGAAAGTCAGCACGTAATCAACCATGATCAATCGCTATCACCAGGGGATTGACCTGTCAATTGCAGTCGACTGGTTGGACACCCCTGCCCTATACTATGTTGATCTATGTTGAGAGCCAGTGTGGTGTAGTGGTTAAGAGCGGTAGACTCATAATCTGGTGAATCGGGTTCGCGTCTCTGCTCCTCCATATGCGGCTGCTGGGTGACCTTCGGCTAGTCACACTTCTCTGAAGTCTCTCAGCCCCACTCACCTCAGAGAGTGTTTGTTGTGGGGGAGGAAGGGAAAGGAGAATGTTAGCCGCTTTGAGACTCCTTAAAGGGAGTGAAAGGCGGGATATCAACTCCAAACTCTTCTTCTTCTTCTTCTTCTTCTTCTTCTTCTTCTTCTTCTTCTTCTTCTTCATCTGCTCGATGCCATTTTTGCCCTCGTACAAACAACATTCTTCTGCCTAACAAAGTAAGGCCATAATGTCACTGAAGGAAAGGTGGAAAAAGAGCCTCAACCAAGTGCCAATCAGGTTGAGAGAGGAAAAAATTATTTCTGGCCCTATCGACCAGCGCCCCATAATTTCTCAGTAACGGCTCTCACCCGAGAGCGGGTGGGCAGGAATCTCTCAAGGCAAAATGGCCTTGACCTCAAGGGGAATCGGCCTTACGTAGGCTTTCCCCTCCCCTTTGCAAGGGCTCATGGGAATGCTTTTTTGCCTCAGTCCAGCCCAGTGGATTCCATTCCACCAGCATCAGGTGAATGGAATGATGTACTGATCCTGGAGCCCTCCTGCCATGCCAACTCCTACCCTACCTGCTGTGGTCAATTAAGATTTCATTCCAACACCTGGTGTTCTGCCAGTTCATTTGCTATTCTTCTGGGTCACATATTACTCCTGTCAGGGCAAACACTTTCCCTTCTTGAAGACTGTCCTGTATTTAATAAAATGTGAGAGAGTGGGACTAAAGAGTAAATCTGCCATTTGGTTACTCACTGTTTCTTAAGGTTCAAGAAAGAGAGACTGGTGTATGCTAGCCAAATTGGTCCACTTTAAATTTCTGTAGGATTCCCTTGTATATATTCTCTTTCTCTCAGAGATTCAGCCAAAGTAGAACCCTGTTAACTTCCATTCACTTCCATGGTAGACTAAAGCACATGCTTCATTCCATGCTACTGAAATCTGTGGGACTCAAACATGCTTTATTTTGACTAACTCGTACCCTATACGCTTTAAGCCAGTCCTTTATTCTGTGGCAGTTTGCCATTTGGAAAATACTTCCTCAAATATCGTAAATAATATATCAAAACAGGAAAGCCTGTTCCTTATTTGGTGCCATTTCCCTTTCTTCAAAAGCGTTTACCTTACGGCTACATATGTAGACTCTGCATTCGATGGCTTCCAAGATATTTTGGGGGGAGAAATCTCAAAATAACATAATATGCATTTTTAAAACATCTGCTGCAGCTGATGTCTTGTGGGGGAACCAATATGTTAACTTGCCCTCTGGTCAATGAGTTCTTAGTGTGCTAAAGAATAACACAGCAGCAGATGTACAATAAGAGCCGGGAGGCTGGAACATTTGGACTTTCGCCTTGTTCGTGGTAAAAGGAAACTAACAGAGGCTGTGTAAATACAACTCACCCTGCGTGGCTCCAATAGAAAGAATATTGATTTGCCTTTCAAATCATCAACGTAGTCTCTCTCTCTCTCTCTCTCTCTCTCTCTCTCTCTCTCACACACACACACACACACACACACACAAAAACACTGTATGTTGGCACCATCTCCATTGAAAAAGTAGACCTCTTCTTCTACCAAACTGGCATCCAGTCAGAAGATTGACACTAACGCTAAGATTGATATGGGAGCAGGTATTTGAGGTCCCTTCTTGCTGCATCACTGTGTTTGCTCACCATCTTAACATAATAGCTAGTGCTTGATTAACTTGAAACACCTCTTCCCATATGAACCTACCCAGACCCTGAGATCATCTTCTGAGGCCCTCCTTTGTGTGCCTCCTCCTCGAGAGGTCCAGAGGGTGGCAACTCAAGAACAGGTCTTTTATGCAGCAGTGCTCTGTTTGTGGAATGCTCTCCCCAGGAAGGTTCACATGGAGCCTTCATTGTACACCTTTAGGTAGAAATGGATAAAAGCCTCCCATCCAAACGATGACTATCACCAGTGCAGGGAAGAAAAAAATTAAATTTTCATTTTTATCATCTACAATACTGTCTTATTTATTTTATAGTACAGTACATTGCTTATTGCTTTCATTTTATGGATCAATGGCCTCACTAGAGAGTAAAATTCATGTTAAATTGCTGTTTTAGGGGTTGTTTTTAAAAGTCTGGAATGGATTGATTCATTTTGCATTACTTTCTATGGGAAAGCACGCCTTGGTTTTGGAACGCTTTGGTTTTGGAACGGCCTTCCAGAATGGATTAATTTTGAGAACCAAGGTACCACTGTAGTTTTAGGCAATAGAAATTGTTGTCTTAATATCATGGGTCCAATAAGGTCCTTACAATATTCTCATCCTGTATTATGATACAGTGGTACCTCGGGTTAAGTACTTAATTCGTTTCGGAGGTCCGTTCTTAAGCTGAAACTGTTCTTAACCTGAAGCACCACCTTAGCTAATGGGGCCTCCCACTGCTGCCGTGCCGCCGCTGCACAATTTCTGTTCTCATCCTGAAGCAAAGTTCTTAACCCGAGGTACTATTTCTGGGTTAGAGGAGTCTGTAACCTGAAGCATATGTAACCTGAAGTGTATGTAACCCGAGGTACCACTGTAATGAGTTGAATATATTGATCCAGACAAGTGGGTGGCCGAATGTATGGATGAAAGAAAAGATCCATCCATCGATTTTCTGTTGAATTTCTATTCTGAGACATAAGATTCCAAGCCAAAAGTTAATAAATGAGAAAGGCTTACTATGTTTGTGGAGGGTATCATTGCTGAAATCATTGAATATCTTGGATCTTGATATTTCTAATCTGTTACTGATAATGATTAGATCTTATTTGTTTGTTGCCCTAGATATGATTTAAGACTTGCACCTTCGTTTTTGAAATGTAAAACCTTTTAAAAGGTAACAACTAAGAAAATATAAAAAGAACTGAGGCTGCCTCCACACCTTACAAACAACTGTTTATTTCTTACCCTTCCTTCTTTTAATACTTCACGTGGCATTATTCAGTTTCGTTTTTACACAAGAGCCAAGTTCTCCCATTCATCAAGATAATGTTTATATTCTTCCTGTCCCATTTGTCAGTGTTGGGTCATTCTGCATTGATTGAGGGGTCGAGGTAACCTGAAAGTGTGTTTGCACGCACAATGTGAAGCGCTCTCTCCAGACGCTTGGACCAGATTTATCTCGCCCTCCCCCACTTTCCTCTGGGAAGAATTAATGGAAACAGGAAATCTGCAAACATTTAAAATGGATATATGAGATTATTGAAAAAATGCCTTTCCTACAAATAGAGCTTTTAAAAGAAAAATAATCTGCAGTGTTTGGGACTAGTATGAAGTTAACTCAAGCCACATTTCAAAATAGTGCATATGATGTATATCACTCTCTTTAACTTTGTATTAATAAAGACCTTGGGAGCAGTAATGAGAGACGCTTTGAGGCTGGCACTAGATGCTGTCTATCCCACACACAGGATGTCAGAATACCAACATATGGGGTATGTAACCACCTTGGGCAGTTCCAGCAGGTGGCAGGCTGTGACCTGCATAGGCAAGTGATGAGGCTTGCTCAAAATGGCAGAATACCTGGCAATTTATATAATGGAATCATTGACATTTTGCTAGTGATTTAGTATCACTGTAGGTTTCTTAGTTGTCACAGAGCTACTATTCCCAGAGTTCCCTGTAAAGAAGGATGAACTGTTCAACCAATCTGGGAGATGCAGCTCTGGGACAGGAATACAGTGGTACCTCGGGTTAAGTACTTAATTCGTTCCGGAGGTCCGTACTTAACCTGAAATTGTTCTTAACCTGAAGCACCGCTTTAGCTAATGGGGCCTCCCGCTGCCGCCGCACTGCCGGAGCACGATTTCTGTTCTCATCCTGAAGCAAAGTTCTTAACCTGAAGCACTATTTCTGGGTTAGCAGAGTCTGTAACCTGAAGCGTATGTAACCCGAGGTACCACTGTAGGGGTCTACTAGCAACCCTTAGCACCCTTAAACTACAGCTAACAAGATTTTGGGGGGAAGCCATTGCTGTTTAAATAGGGCTGTCACATGTCTGGGTTTTTGTGGGACACTTCCAGGAATCAGGCCGCAAAACGGCGTCCGGGCGGATTTTTGCCGAATCAGCAAAATGTCCAGAAAAACCCAGACATATAGCAAGGAGGGCAATTAAATAATTTTAAAAAGCTTCAAAATTTCCCCCAAAGCCCCAAAACTTAATTTCTGGGGGGAGATGTTCCCCAAAAAAGCTCAGCAACCAGATTTTCACTTTGGGGAAAATGGCAACCCTAGAATATATGCTCTGAACGTGGTCTTACAGTTGTTGTAGTAATAATAATTTGTTGATTTGGAATCCTAAATGAATAGGACACGGAGCAATGGATCCAAACTACAAGAAAGAAGATTCCACCTAAACATTAGGAAGAATTTCCTGACAGTAAGAGCTGTTCAACAGTGGAATTTGCTGCCAAGGAGTGTGGTGGAGTCTCCTTCTTTGGAGGTCTTTAAGCAGAGGCTTGACAACCATATGTCAGGAGTGCTCTGATGGTGTTTCCTGCTTGGCAGGGGGTTGGACTCGATGGCCCTTGTGGTCTCTTCCAACTCTATGATTCTATGATTCTATTCTATGATTCTAATAGCTATAGTGGAGAAAGCAAGAATCAGGTTCATTATTGCGAAAACTGCTGTCAGGCTCCCCGCACCCCCAAAAATCTGTCACAAGATGTCTGCAACTAGTTTGAAAAGCCATCTACTCCAGAAACAAATTTACTCCATTATCAACTGTCATTATTTGTAAGCAAAACTGAATTTTAATGGAGTGAATACTCTGAAATAATTGGATGACCAAGTTCAACAGTCCATATTATATAACCGTCCCATGAGCATTGTACACCAACAGTTTCCAAAGAATCCAAGAGAAATAGCTGACTGAAAAAAAATAGAATTCCCCAGGTCCACGCAGAGGCATATTTCAGTCCATAAGAATGCAACCCCAGTTCAAGACGTATCTGAAATCCTCTTTCTGGCTTAAAAAAAGATCACTATCAACTGTTACATTATCCTTTATTCAGCAGAATGTTGAGAGCTGCGCTTTTCACACCAATAATATTTTTGAACACAAAATATATATCAACATTGTTTCTTCTAAAGAGCTCTTATCAAACCATATAAGTCTTAGGAAGATTACCTATTCCTAGAACTGCCTTAATTTTGTTTCTTCTTCATTTTACACATTTAAAATGCCCAACCAAAGAAAATGAATGTGTATGCTGTAGATTTTCATAGTGGATTCAGCCACCCTGCTATTTCATTTTTCTCATGGCTTTCTAATATTTCCAGATGTTGCTTTTACTCAGCTAATAGCTCCACTATGCTTAATTGAGGTTTTGGTATTACCAAAATGGCCTCTGATTGGCTTTATTGTCTGTTGCATTTCTGGTCTGTTGACTGTAATAAAACTGATGGTGATTTCCTGTAGATAGTAGAAAGCAATATAAATAATTGTACAGTTGTTAAGAATGGGTAGGAAGTACTGTATTTTTCGCTCTATAAGACGCATCAGACCACAAGACGCACCTAGTTTTTGGAGGATGGAAAACAAGAAAAAAAATATTCTGAATCTCAGAAGCCAGAACAGCAAGAGGGATCGCTGCGCAGCGAAAGCAGCAATCCCTCTTGCTGTTTTGGCTTCTGGGATAGCTGAACAGCCTGCATTCGCTCCATAAGACGCACACACATTTCCCCTTACTTTTTAGGAGGGAAAAAGTGAGTCTTATAGAGCGAAAAATACGGTACATTCGCTCTAAGCAGCAATATAAATTCCGCCATAAGGGGGCAAACCGACGGCAAGATCTGCTGGGATAAGCAGTTTAGGATGCAGAGGATTTCTGGCTCGATTGGTTGATTCCCAGTTTAGCAGGTGTTAGGTCCCCAACTCCTGTTCAGCTCATATATGCCAGCTTAGCTTGCTACATAGATGCTGGCTGAGCCATGGCCAGTGTAAGTCTTCAAAAATGTGCATTGTGGGATGAGGACCAGGGTGGGGTGGGGCTTAGGCTCGATCCTAAGCCCTTTCAGTGTTGTCACATGACCTGGCAACCTGTCAGGCAGCAGAGGAACCATCCCCCTTGGCAGGTTGCCAGGAATGGATAAGACAAGGAAAAGTCCTTACCATCTGCTTTTTATTCAATATTCACAGAGAGAGGCTTGGAAATGCAGCCTCTTGGAAGAATGGTGTCCTGAGTAAATCTCTACCCCACCCCCCACCCCTCTACTTCATTCATCAACAGCACCACCACCCGTACGGTTGCTGCTTACGGCCATCTGTCCCCGAGCTCTCCTACTTTTAAGGGTTGCCGGGTTCTGGGAGATGTTGGGTCTGGAATGCTTTCTAGTGATAATGTGTCAGCCAGCCTCCCCCTCCTCCTCTCCCATTATTTCCCAGCTTTCTCCCTCATCTTCCTCTGAGCTGTGATTTGCCACAAACCAGATCTGAACTGTCTTCTTCTTCTCTGGAAGGGTCAGGCTAGGGAAGTGGTCTCCACCATTCCTCCTCTGGCATAGAACATGATTTTAAAGGCTTCTGTCATACCCTCCAACATTTCTCCAATGAAAATAGGGAGTTCCTATTCTATAAGACTAGGAAAAACGATAATTTTATTATTTATGCCCTGCCCATCTGACTGCGTTGCCGCAGCCACTCTGGGTGGCTTCCAACATATATAAAAGCATAGTAAAACATTAAACACTTAAACAAAAAACCCTTTCCTATACAGGGCTGCCTGTATAGATGTCTTCTAAAAGTTGTATAGTTACTTATCTCCTTGGCTTGGGAAGCAAATAACTCCATACCCTCCAACATTTCTCCAATGAAAATAGAGTTGTTCTAAGGAAAAGTGGGACATTCTGGGATCAAATCAGAAACCAAGATGGCTTCTGTAAATCCAGGACTTGAAAATAGGGGCATTTGGTGGGGTCTGTTGCTTTCCCTCTGTCTTTTACTCTGTTATCACCAGTTTGGGCACTGCTTTCCTTCTGGGTGAAGATAGAGGAAAAGTAGGTGTTGAGCAGTTCCGCCTTTTCTCTGTCACTTAATGGCATGTTTCCATTTCCCCCATACAGATGTTAGGTTAAGATGTTAATCTGCATCTACTAAGTGCACATAAAAGTACAAGGAAAGGCGCAAAAGGGAACACACACTCCTTCATTTATCGTATGCGAGCCTGTACCTTTTTCACCAGATAATCCTCAAGGCAAGAAATAGAACATTTGTTTAAAAAGTTATGAGGATAAAATAAAATAAAAAATTGCCACTTCAGTCAAAATAGAAAAACAGAAGAGAACTGAGCATCACTTGCCATTTTATTTTGTCTCCGGTTACGAAGTGCTGGAAACAGCTAGAGCTAAATATTATGGCAGATGAAAATCTGTTGCCCCTTCTATCGCTGTCGTCTTTCCCCTGCAAACATCTAGGGGGACTCAAAGCACAAACTGACATTGTACTGTCAGGTTTGCCTTCCTCTAATTCCTTGGCTGTCCTCCAGGCTTCTCTGTCTGGCGCATGGCAGTCTCCTCAGGCCACACCCCCACTAGTCCTGCTTTATGCTTTCATTGAGGTTTTATTTTATTTTATTTTATTTTATTTTATTTTATTTTGACTGGCTGGAATGTATTCTTGACCTCTGATAATGTTTCTGGCTCATCTGAACGGAAGATAGAGAGGAATGTGCGAGAGCACAAAGGTGAACTACGGGCTCCGCGCTTCATCCACTTTTGCTTCTGTCATCTGACCCTCGTAAAGTTGCCAAAAAAATGAATAATGCCCTCTGTCTGAAAAATATTCCCAATACTGTTATGCTGCATGCATCGTTTCCAGCTGCTCTAGAGAAGACAACTACATACTTGCAGTAGGCAAACATTTGCCATAGCATCTAATGTCACCATTATTGGTTGTTTTCGTTCCCCCTCCTGTTGAGACACGGGTCATTCCCTTTAATTTTGCTGAGGAAGTAGACACCTCAGTTTACAACACTTCCAGACTGAATCTGGCCAAGCCCAAAGTATTTTTTCACCACCGAAAGGGGTTATTAAATACATTATTTGTGTGTGTGGGGGGGAAGCAGGTGTGAAGTTTGTCGATTTTGCTGTAAACATGAACATGAAGAGTGCTGTTCTGAAGAAGGGAGGATAGAAACAGAAAAGATGCAGCCCATTCAATCAAATTATCTCGTTTTAGCTTGTAGCTTAATTCTCTGCCACAAGAAAACAAAGTTTTGACTTGGCAATGGCTGAATCTCAGCAGGACAACGTGGAAAAGTACTTGATAGTATAGTTCTCCGATTCCCTTCCACAGAAATTGAAAGAGTATGATTAGCACCGTTAGTTATGACATTTTCAGACTTTGTCTGGCATGATCCATCCCCTCCCTTTTAGGAAAGGAAAGCCATTCATAAATTCTTTTGCAGTGTTTTGTGTGTGTGTGATGGAATGGCCGTTTCTAATTCCGAATGACTTCTGAAAAGCGGTTTCTCCAGCTCTGGTCTTTTTCCTAATCTTGCATGTAGTCAGCTAATTACTAGTCAGAGTCAAGAGCATTCAGCAATAGGACCTTTCCCAGGCTCTGACTTGCACTCCCCCCCTGCCACCATGTAACACGGCCAGTCTATCAGCTGTTCGCTGGATATTGAACAACAGCTGCCATCCACAGCAAACATCCGGCTTCTACTGAGTGCCATAAAGGGCCAATTGACAGGCGCAAGCTTCAGAATGCAGAGGAATGCATCCACAATTACAGTGTCATTCTTAAGGGTATAATAGTTCTAGCAGAAACAGAAAAAAGAGGGTAGGTTGACCACCCATATGAACAGGACTGTTGGGACTGTAGGTCAGGGAAAGAGCACAGACTATGCATGCAAAACTCCTTTTCTGGCAACTCCACGTAGGGCTGAGAGACTTTGACCTGAAATTTAGGAGAGTGCTTCCGGGTTCTGTCCTGGGCCCGTTGTTGTTCAACGTCTTTATAAACGACAAATGCTATTCTAGGCTACATCAACACAAGTATAGTGTCCAGATCAAGGGAAGTAATAGTACCATTCTCTTCTGCCTTGGTCAGACCACAACTGGAATACAGTGTCCAATCCTTGGCACCACAATTAAAGAAGGATGCTGGCAAGCTGGAACGTGTGCAGAGGAGGGCAATCAAGATGATCTGGAAACCAAGCCTTATGAGGAACGGTTGAAGGAGCTGGGTATGTTTAGCCTGGAAAAGAGGAGACTGAGAGGAGATATAATAGCCAACCTCAAATATCTCAAACTTGTTTTCTCCTGCTCTGGAGGGCACGACTTGAACCAATGGCTTCATTTAGCATTTGAAAAATGAAAGAGAGAAACAGAAATTGGTGGAAAGTGGCTTGGTCAAAGCCACTCAAAGAGCGTCATGGATGAGTGTCTTCCTGGACCATATTCAAAATCTGCTCCATTGCACAACATCTATCTGTCTGTCTGTCTGTCTGTCTGCAGTGATCTTATATGCCATTTAGATCCCAAAGTCACAGGATGCCTTTTCTCAACCAATGTGGTTTAGATCTAGCACCAGAGAGTGTTACGTGAGCCTTCACTTAAATACTTCACAATGTTTAATACCCATGTTTGTAGAGACACAAACACTCCTTAGTGACAGAATTATCTCGACAATGCACAATTATTACCAAGTGAAGTAAAAAAAAGAAAAAGAAAAAGTATTTTGGATTTAATGAGGAGGAAACTGGGATGTTGCAACTCCCTTGAAATGTAGATTTCTACTTCAGCCTAACCCATTAAGTTTTTAGGGGTTTTTTTAGTTTTTGAGGCTGTGGTATTTGGCATCATTTCTTCTGTTCTTTTGATAAGTACCTAAACAGGATGTCCTTGTAAATTAAATGAAAAACAGCTCTGGAAGGTTTCCTCCCTCAGGAATAAGCATTAAGATTGGCAGATGGTTTAAGTGGAAATACACAGGAATGCACTTTAGCCACTACTTGGAAATTGTTCCTGCAGATATTACCAAGGTAGATTCACAAAGTCCCATTGGGCATCTGTCTGCAATGAGTCAGTTTCTAATGGCCTGGAGCAGAATCCTTTAATCCAAATTGTTTTCAAACCACCATAGTCTTAAGAAGTGAAATGTAAAAATAACTTGGAAGTTAATGATCATCTCAGCTAACTTCTCACGGCATGCTCTTTAATGTTGCTGGTATTAGCCTAGATAGTGATGATTTAGTTCATCATAACCCCAGAAGCCTTCCAGATTAATTCATCGTTTTGGGGGCAACTTTTTACAAACCATGATCCAGCATGGCTTGTAAAAAGGTAACAGAGTCACTCACTCTCCTGAAATACATCCATGAAGGTCAGTAGGAACCCAGTCAAAGCCTACATCTGCATCAGATATGTTCCTTTTTGCTGGATCGCAATGCCTTAATTTTAAGGGGCGGATCTGCACTCATGGTTTTTAACGTTAAGGAAGGGTTAAGGAATGGTTTTGATAACTATATGAACATGTGACTACTTTTAACGTTCATAATGTGTTATTAAAATGTGACACTAGAGGGCATGGCAGAGAAATCAGCAACTGACAGTAGGGAAACAGCGTTATGACAAAAGAAACAAAGGTGAAAAAAAGGAGAGTTTATTTACAAGTATGCCGTTACATTTTAGAATGATATCTCTAATATTGTTCTAATAACGTTAAACAGGTCAATGTCGATCCAGCCAAGGTTTCCTCTGCTAACTATACTGTGGAAGACTGTGACTGTGGCTGGATCTACACACAGGGGAAAAACCCACTATAAATAAGTCATAAATTAGATTGTTATAACAAAAGAAAAAAACCCTGTGTAAAATTGCGTAGACAAATTTTGTGCTCTACAGTGCCATCTGGTGTCACATCTGTACAATGGTGTTACAACTGCGTGTAGCTGAGTCCTGTGTTCCTCTTCACTCTGCTGCCAGGTGCTAACCGCTGCTGGGCAGTTTCAAGTCCCCTGGTTTCTTTAGCTTTAAAACAGCGCTTTTTAAGAGAAGATGCTTCAAATAGAAAACTGTTCTTTGTGAAGTAAGATACTTGGACACGATTCCGTGAGGCTTCCCACTTTCCCCCCCAAGCGTGCCACATGGTTGGTCAATGATGGTTTACAATTCACGGGGATGCAGGAAAAGGGTGTAACATTTGGGCTGAAGGTGCAGGGCAGTGGGTGTCTAATGGCATTTGAGAGAGTGCCTCTCTGGGATCGCCTCTCCTGGTATGCCCCGCAGAGGACCTTAAGGTCCACAAATGACAAAACTTTGGAGGTCCCAAGTCGTAAGGTAGTTAGGTTGGTCTCAACTACGGCCAGGGCCTTTTCAGTACAGGCCCCGACTTGGTGGAATGCTCTGTCACAAGAGACTAGGGCCCTGTGGGACTTGACATCTTTCCACAGGGCCTGCAAGACAGAGCTGTTCCCCCTGGCCTTTGGTTTGGACTCAGTCTGACCCTTATGTTTCCCTCCCCTTATGGTTTTGATCTATGGGCTACTATTAAAATGAGGCTGCATTTTAAATTGTATTTTAACCCGTATTTTAAATTGGTTCCCCCTCCCTCCCATTATGTTTTTATTGTAATTTTACTAGTGTCAGCCGCCCTGAGCCCGGCTCTGGCCGGGGAGGCAGGTATTCATCATCATCATCATCATCGTCGTCGTCATCTTTTGAGGTGGATGAAAAGCGTTGCATCTTCGTAAAGCTGTTGGTTTGCATTGATAGAAACTCATCAGAATGAAGGAGATAGCAGGTCAGACTTTGCCACAAACTTCTGCTGTAATCTGAGTAGTGTTTGACTCTCCTTTGTAACATATGTGCAAACACTGTTCAGAACAAAAGGTACTCTTTAAGTCCTCAACAGCCCTAGAATGGAGCCCAAGGCCAAGCAAAGTACTGCCACTGGGACTGCCAGTGGGTTTAAGAGTTCTGCAGGATTTTATATAAATATAATAGCTCTCCAAATAAAAGTTGAAAATGTACTGAAAAAAGAGTGGAGAAACCGTGTGTTTTTTCAAATACGTGGAACTACTGTTAACCCATACTAGATCTCACTGTCACCTTTCATCTGTTTATGGGTCTTCCACATATAATAACAAATATATTTTATACTTACTGGTGTTTCAATATTAGTAGCAGTAATATTAATGGTGCTTTCCTAAAGCGGAGAGCCAAAGGATTACTTTAGATGTTACCATGATCTTCTGTGCACCTAGGGACAGCAGATGTTTTCCTATTTAAAAAAAACTGATTGCAAAATTGTTTCAGCATGACTGAGGTGGGATGCCGATGAAAGAAGCACAGGTCCTAAATCCCCTGGGGTATGCAGAACCAAATGTGCGAATCTTCGAACTCTAGGTTTATATGTTTTGTGAATCAGATCCCAAAGGCAACAGTGTCCTTAAAGAGCAATTGCTGTCAACATCAGGATGTGGAGCTGACAGATGTGTCCTTTGTCAATAACAAATGCAGCTTGATCCTCTTAGTAAAGTTACTTGGAATCCATGTAGATTGCTATTATGAAAATACAGCTCATTAAGCAGATTAGACAGATTTATGGGAGACATCTTATTAATTTCTATTTGCTATGATCGCTAAGTGGAATGTCTGTGTTCCACAGATAATTCTGGGGATAAGCCATAGGGGAGGGACCTTCCATAGTCAGCTTCCAAGACGCATCTGGCTGTCCGCTTTGAGTTATGGAATACTGGTCTAGATTTAATAAAATCTACTGGAAAAAAATAGATTCTTTGCTGTCAAAAGGATTTGTATGTCCAGTAACACACTGCTGCAATATGCTAAAAGATGGTGGTGCAATCTAATGAGCCTCAGCCACCGAGATTATAGTAAGTCCCTAATAGTATCTGATTTCTAAATTTGGAGACGTATGAAGCCTTTGACATTTTCAAACCCAGGGTCTACTGTGAACCTGAATCTGAAATAGAGGTTCTCTTGCTGTTTTCTTATATATTATGCTGCTATATCCATCTATCCTGAAAAAAAAACCAGTTAAACCTAATGGAAATTGTTTATAACTAGGGTCATGACTCATATACGACCAATCTATTCATACCCTCCAACATTTTTCCGATGAAAATAGGGACATCCCAACTGTTCTCTGGTGAAATTAGGGACATCCTACCATACCCTCCAACATTTCTCTGTTGAAAACAGGGGTGTCTACCATACCCTCCAGCATTTCTCTGATGGAAATAAGGATGTCCTAAGAAAAGCAGGACATTCCAGGATCAAATCAGAAACTGGGACAGCTTCTCTAAATCCTGGACTGTCCCTGGAAAGTAGGGACACTTGGAGGGTCTGATCTATTTTGTTCCATGTGTTTTCGTTCTCCTTTTCTCATTCTGAAAGATAGCTGTGGAGCAACCTTCCTTAGGGAAACTTGCAGTCCTGCTGTACATTGTGAGCCATCAGTTGAAGACCAATTGTCTAAACCAGGGATAGGGAACCAGTGGTCCTCCGGTGATTGTTGGACTCCCACTCTCAGCTGCCACTACCCAACATGGCCAATGGTCAGGGCTGATGTTTGACAACATCTAAAGGGTCAGCGATTCGCCGCCCCAGACCTAAATGATAGTTTCTGCCATTCTTACTGGTTCACCTTCCCTTCTTACTTTCAGAATGAGTCACACAATGGGCCAGATTAATGTCTGGCAGTTCAGAAAAAAGCGTCAGATATTTAATATTTTCCCCATCTTCCTGCTCTTAGAACACTTAACATTAAAATCAATACAAATGCAACCACTTAAAATCCATTCACTTGTCTACTTCGTCTTCTATGAATGATTATATATATATAATTTCCAGGGAAGTGTTCTAGCAATGTATTTCACTTTAAAACATGCAATTAAATTTCAGAGACATGCCCTTTTATTCCCGTGTTTCAAGGACTATTATCGCCATAACTGGGAACAAAAGTGTTACTCATTGCATTGAAATAATGCTATTTGCAACAAATGCTTACATCTTCAGCAATGAGCTATATCTTTATCCAAAAATCAATGCCTGATCTATCCATATTTGGATAAAGGGCAACCAGATCTGAAGCAGGACAGAGCAGTGACATTTCATAATTATATATATCTATAATCAATCAATCAATCATCTATCTATAATTATATTGAAGAGGCTTGTGTAGCAAGTACAGTTTGTTATAGAGGGATGGGCATATCTGATCCAACTGAGGTTTCTATCTTCTACACAATGATTAAATATGTTCAGGAGTCCTATACACCACAACATCTGGCAACCCTGTTTGTGTGTAAAGAGAGTTGGTTTGTGTTTTTAAATTATGCCATACTCCTAAACATATTTATTTTCAGGGAAGGGCCATAGGTCAGTGGTAGAGTATCTATCTTACATGAAAAACGTACCAGTTTTGATCCCTGGCATTTCAAATTCAGAAGCACAGGCTCCCATCACAGCTATACTATACTGACATTGGGGGAGGGGGGCTCTGAACATTAAGGGGGCCCTTGCCCCTTGAAAAAAATAAAGATCAGTTGATCCCACAGAGCTTCAGCCACTAGGAGCCAGTGCCCTTGCATGGGATACAATGGTTGTATCCAATGATGGCTTTGCCTGGAAAGTGCTTCTGGTCATCTAAGTTGGCTGTGAGTCCTGGAAGACCTGCTTCTGCCTTGCAGCCCCTTTTCTACCTAGCCTGGGAGGGCAGGGCCCCGATTGACTCCAGCTACAAAAACTGAGGCTGCTGAAAAGGCCAGAGCTCTCTTGGCTGTCCTTCTGTGCAAACCGAGCTCATTGAGCTCTGAGCATCCACAGCCCCTGCCATGAGCCACCATTCGCAGGATTTGCAGCTACAGCAGCAGATACGTTCTATGCTTATGAGCAGGGGTCAGCAAACTTTTTCAGCAGGGGGCCGGTCCACTGTCCCTCAGACCTTTTGGGGGCCAGGTTATATTTTGAAGGGAAAAAATGAATGAATTCCTATGCCCCACAGATAACCCAGAGATGCATTTAAAATAAAAGCACCCATTCTACTCATGTAAAAACACCAGGCAGGCCCCACAAATAACCCAGAGATGCATTTTAAATAAAAGGACACATTCTGCTCATGTAAAAACATGCTGATTCCCAGACCGTCCACAAACTGGATTTAGAAGGCAATTGGGCCAGATCCGGCCCCCAGGCCTTAGTTTGCCTACCCATTCTTATGAGAATATTTTATTCTTTTGCTAGTGTAAAGGTAAAGGTACCGCTGACCACTAGGTCCAGTCACGGATGACTCTGGGGTTGCGGCACTCATCTCGCTCTATAGGCCAAGGAAGCCGGCTTCTGGGTCATGTGGTCTGCATGACTAAGCCATTTCTGGCGAACCAGAGCAACGCATGGAAACACCGTATACCTTCCCGCCGGAGCGGTACCTATTTATCTACTTACACTTTGATGTGCTTTTGAACTGCTAGGTTGGCAGGAGCTGGGACCGAGCAACGGGAGCTCACCCCATCGCAGGGATTCAAACCACCGACCTTCCAATCAGCAAGCCCTAGGCTCTGTGGTTTAGACCACAGCGCCACCCGTGTCCCTTCTTTTGCTAGTTAGGCTGTTTCAAAGATGCCTTTTATATTTGACTTCACTTAGTAATGCATTCCTTTGATAAAGTGAAGATAATTCTTTTGTTAACTTTGCTCTACTAAACATGCATTCTGCAGTTGACCTCTGTAGTGTTTCTTTTAAAAAAATGTTTAGGATAATATTTTAGTTTCCTGTTAATGAATGTTTGAATGAATGTTAATTGTATTTAAATGTATACTTTATATTCAACTTTCTTCAGTAAGGTTTTATTCTGGATTGTTTTATTTGCTGTTTTAATGTAGGTTGTAAACTGGTTTGAGATCTCCCCCCCTTAAAAATATAAAGCAGTATAGAAATGACATGAATAATAATAATACCCCCAACACCCCCACCCCCTTCTAAGATTAGAAAGCCTTCTAACATTATAATTATGCAATAATTAGAAATAGGAATGCATTGCAACAAACAATGCAGATCTCCTTTCAGCTAGAGCTACTAATTTCTGTGCACCTACTGTATACAGTCATACCTCGGATTACGAACACTGTGGGTTGCGCGTTTTCGGGTTGCGGACCACGCCGAACCTGGAAGTACTGGAACGGGTTACTTCCAGGTTTCGGTGCCCATGCCTGCGCAGAAGGACAAAATGACGTCACGTGCATTAGCAGAAGCACCGAATTGCGTCATGCGTGTGCGCAGATGCGGCGCTTCAGGCTGCGAATGCTGAGGGTTGCGAATGTGCCTCTCACACAGATCCCGTTCGCAACCCGAGGTATGACTGTATAGACAAATGATTTGGAGTGCTCAGATATCTTCTTTTGGCATGACGTAAGCTGTGCTTAAAGGGACGCGGGTGGTGCTGTGGGTTAAACCACAGAGCCTAGGACTTGCCGTTCAGAAGGTTGGCGGTTTGAATCCCCGCGACGGGGTGAGCTCCCATTGCTCGGTCCCTGCTCCTGCCAACCTAGCAGTTCAAAAGCACCTCAAAGTGCAAGTAGATAAATAGGTACCGCTCCGGCGGGAAGGTAAACGGTGTTTCCGTGTGCTGCTCTGGCTCACCAGAAGCGGCTTAGTCATGCTGGCCACATGACCCGGAAGCTGTACGCCGGCTCCCTCGGCCAATAAAGCGAGATGAGTGTCGCAACCCCAGAGTCGGCCACAACTGGACATAATGGTCAGGGGTCCATTTACCTTTACCTTTACCTTTAAGCTGTGCTTGCTTGAGGTCCCATTAGTTTAGCCTGGCAATGCTCTTTAGGTGCCTTAGTGATGGGTTGTCCTCAAAGCTCACTTTTCAGACTCTGTGGTTCAGCGGGTGAGATAGGGACCCCTTTTGACGCCAAACTCCCTCATCCACCTGGGTTTCTGTGGTCCTGGGTGTGCGT